TTTTCATTGCAATGGTTAATCAATACAGCACAAACGTAAATATGTCACACTGATTTACTTGGAATGAGATCATTGCAATTCTAAATATCGAAGTTTTTTCCTTTTAGAGTAACAGCTATTGGTGATATTCTTCTGTTTTGTATCCTTATTTAGAAAACAGGAGCAGGGAAGTCAATTATTGCATTTCAATCATTACTTGTACACTATTCTTACTCAGTGGTTCTACTATATCTCTTCCCTCCACCAGTACTTCCTAAACGACACAATTCCCCATCAGCTTTACATTGGCAGAGAACCTCAGAAACTGGAGTCATATTGAGAGCTGGCTGCAGCAGGTTAACCCCCCCCTGCTCTAGTTATATGATTTGCAGGGGCCCCCATTTATGACCATGGTTACAAACATTGAACGTAACCTACGACTTACATAAAAGGAAGACTACAAACACCTAAAGCACTTTAGCTTGCCAAAATGCACTATGCGTGAAAAGTGTGACCTCTTTCTATTTTACAAAAAGGACAGATCTCCATAGAAATTGTCACTTTTATAAATTAACCTAGTTGTCAAACAACTGGTCCTGTTACTTCCTGGTTTGTTTAGTTCAATGAAACTAAACTCAAGAGGCAGCAATTGCTCAGAGCACCTGCCTTGTAAAGACTTTCATTGAGTTGCATTGGGAAGTCTGATTGGACAGCTTTTGTACAAGAACAAATTGCATGGATGTTTTCATTGGGGGTATATATACTAAATATCTTTTTTTTTTTTTTTTTATATGGGGAGTGGAGTCCCATAAATCACTTTGTTTAAGTAGAGAATTGATGGTGGTGAGACTGCAGGGGCATAACCTATACACTAAAATGTTTCATTAAGTTAAAGGGACACTATAGTCACCACAACAACTACAGCTTAATGTAGTTGTTCTGGTGAGTAGAATCATTATATGCAGGCATTTTTATACAAACACTGCCTTTTCAGAGATTCAATGCGTCTCTATGAAGAAGTGCTGATTGGCCAAAACTGCATTTGGCCCCGCCCCCTTGCCGATTTTAGCCAATCCAATGCTTTTCCTATGGGAAAGCATTGGATTGGCTAAAAGTCGAAAATGCTGCTGTCGTCATCAAGGAGTTGGATTGGGGCGGGGCCAGCACCGGCAAACCTGCGTGGCGCTGGAAGTAAGGCGAATTATTAATCCTTTTAGGGGGGCCTGAATGGTGGATTTAACACCATAAAGTCAGGAATACATGTTTGTGTTCCTGACCCTATAGTGTTCCTTTAAAGTTGATTTGATGCTTAGAGTATCCCATTAAAGGACCACTATAGTGCCAGGAAAACATACTCGATAGTGCCCTGAGGGTGCCCCCACCCTCAGGGTCCCACTCCCGCGGAGTATAAGGGGAGGAAGGGGTTAAACTTACCTCTTTCTCCAGCACCAGGCAGGGAGCTCTCCTCCTCCTCTCCAGTCACCGGCTGAATGTGCATGTGGGGCAAGAGCCACGCGTGCATTCAGCCAGTGCATAGGAAAGCATTATCTATGAAAATCACAGTGAGAAGCGCAGAAGCCCTCTAGCAGCTGTCAATGAGACAGCCACTAGAGGCTGGATTAACCCATAGGTAAACATAGTTTCTCTGAAACTGCTATGTTTACAGAAAAAAAGGGTTAATCCTACCTGGACCTGGCACCCAGACCACTTCATTAAGCTGAAGTGGTCTGGGTGCCTATAGTGGTCATTTAAAGGCCCTTAGTTTTACAGGACAACGGTCACCTCAAAAATAATTTTTAACATAGTAAACCTTTCATAAAGTATGAAGTGCATGTAAAAAAAAAAAAAACCCATTAATATTTAGGGGTTGGGGGGGGGTGACTAGGTTAAGAGACTATAGCATCAGAAATACATGTTTGTATTCCTAAGGCTACCGTATTTTTCGCTCCATAAGACGCACTTTTTTTCCCCTCAAAAGTGAGGGGAAATGTCTGTGCGTCTTATGGAGCGAATGTGAAGAATTACTTACCTGTCTTGGAGCGTGGGCCGGCTTCACAGCGCGCCGGCTTCACTGAGTGTGCACACTTCCTTTCAGTCCCGCCGGAAACCGGAACCTGAAATAGAAGTTCCTGGACCGCGGAGCGCGCTGTGAAGCCGGCCCACGCTCCAAGACAGGTAAGTAATTATGGGACAAGGGGAGGGGGAGACACTATGGGACAAGGGGAATGGGACACTATGGGAGAAAGGGAGGGGAGGAGACTATGGGACAAGGGGAGGGAAGGAGACACTATGGGACAAGGGGAGGGGGGGAGACACTATGGGACAAGGGGAGGGGGACACTATGGGAGAAAGGGAGGGGAGACACTATGGGAGAAGGGGAGGGGGGACACTATGGGAGAAGGGGAGGGGAGGAGACACTATGGGACAAGGGGAGGGGAGGAGACACTATGGGACAAGGGGAGGGGGACACTATGGGAGAAAGGGAGGGGAGACACTATGGGACAAGGGAGGGGAGACACTATGGGACAAGGGAGGGGAGACACTATGGGACAAGGGGAGGGGGGACACTATGGGACAAGGGGAGGGGGAGACACTATGGGACAAGGGCAGGGGGGGACACTATGGGAGGGAAAGTGCACTATGGGACAATGGGAGGGGGACACACTATGGGATCAGAACACTAATGGACAAGGGGAGGAGGGGTTAAAGAACACTATGGGACAGGGTAGGAGGGGTTAACAATCACTATGGGACAGGGTAGGAGGGGTTAACAATCACTATGGGACAGGGTAGGAGGGGTTAACAATCACTATGGGACAGAGGAAAGGGGGGTTAAAGATCATTATGGGACAGGGGAGAAAAAAAAATATTCTGAACAAACTGTCCCATGGTAAGAAACACTATGGAACAGTTTGTTCAGAATATTTTTTTTTCTGGGTTTCCTCCTCTAAAAACTAGGTGCGTCTTATGGTGAGGTGCGTCTTATGGAGCGAAAAATACGGTATATTGTTTCTTTAAATGTAGGAAAAAAGAAAGCCTAATATTACAAATTGTGGGAAGTGACAGATCCCCTTAAAGTCCTTCCAGATCCTGGTATGTGTGGGTGATATTGAACACTGTCAAAATACTAGGCGTGCTGAGGATCCCTACTCCAGCAGGGCCTGCCATGTTCATGTATGTGAATGTAGTCTTTGAAACAGTCACTTGTGATGGCAAAGGCTTCCTATAGTGAGTAAAATAGTCAATAGGTACACAACTTTTTAACATTGCAAAGGTTATAATGGACACCCTACGGACTGCTGCATCTATAATCCTGGCTTACTATCTGCTCCAATATTTAACCCCCTCATTCTCTGTCCATAGAAGGCTTATATTTATACACCCCATGTGACAGCCAAGGGATTAAGGAGGATGAGAACCTTCTATTGAGCTTAAAGTGGCACTGTCATGCCGAACTCTCCCTCTGTCATGATCTGTTCTTCATTTCTGCTCTAGTTTTCTTTAAAACATAAATAAGTAGGGACTACTTTGTCTTATGGAGGTTTCCTACACTAGATCAGCTTTGACCAACAGAGGAGCAAAGTGTGCTTCATTTCCGGTGATCAAAGCAATTTTCCCACAATTCTCACCTTTGATCCGTGATCTTGTGATGCTTCCTGTCAGTATTCCCGAACATCCTGTCACTTAGACAGAATGTCAGCAAAACTACTAAATTTCGTCCTAACAGAATGAGAGCAGTTTCCCACAGTATCATGAAGCTATCTACCAAAAGGCTGAAAGACCTAAATTGGTCTTTCAGCCAAATGTACTAATACTAAGTAAAGATAACTTAGTAAATTCTGCCCCTACTTGCTATACAGCCTGTGGCTGCTCACAGTTAAAAAAACAAAAAAATTACAACCCTCTGGCCCCCCTCCCCCCCAAGCCACACTATAAAACTGAACAGGGGACCTATTGTCCCCCCCCCCCCAGAGCTGCGGGTGGGGGTCCTAAATAATAATGTGGGGGGACCTGTTATGATCCCCCACCCCTGAACGGCAAGTGGGGGCTCTAAATTACAATAGGGGGGACCTATTGTTCGCCCCCCAGGGGCAGGTGGGGGCCCTAAATAGCAACAAGGGGAGGAGGGGGAAGAAAAACCCTTTTGTCCTCCCCCCCCATGAGCAGCAGGTGGAGGCGCTAAATGAAAATTTTAACCCCCTCAGGTGACTAGGGGTCCCCAAACCCCCGCACTCCAAAAAAAATTAAATGAATAAACCCCTACCTACCCACCTCACCTTAAAAATAGTGAGAGGGGAACAAGAGAACTGTAATACCTGTAAAAACTAAACAAAACTTACCATTTGATGTCTTTTTTCAGCCCCAAAAAAGGCCAAATAAAAGTCCATCATACCTGTCGCACTTTGAAAATAAAAGTCCATCTTTACTCAGCAAGGGCACGGCACAGACTGAGCTCCGCAGGGCGGGGAAAGGCTTATAAAGCCTTCCCACTCCCTGCAATTAGGCTCAGAGTGCTCTGATTGGTGGGTTTAAGCCAACCAACCAGAGTGCTCTGACAGGTAAATGAAGAGACTGACCAGTAAGTCTCTACATGTATACATTTACCGGTCACAGCACTCTGATTGGCTTAAAATACAACAAGAGTGCTCTGTCATTTTACACAGCGTGGGAAAGTTCTTTGGAAGGTTTTAACCCATTCAGCCCAGCGGGAGGAGGCCCTGAGGGTGGGGGCGCTAATGACCCTCTAGTGCCAGGAAAACGAGTTTGTATTCCTGGCACGATAGCGGTCCTTTAAGGCAAAATAGCAGAAGTAGAAAAAGTCTCTAAACCAGTTATCCTTCCAGTATAACCTGACAAGCAGCCAAATAGGTCAGATTTGGATAATGTTTTAAAGTTCACTTTGAATGCACATTAATTTACACTTTAATAAACTGAAATTCAAACTAACATTTCAGGTAAAATAGCAGAATGTGACTCTAGCCGAGCTGCAACATTCTCTCTCGCCATGGAGATGCGGAGTTCAGTGAATAACCCGGTTAGTGTGCACAATGGCCGGTGTGATTGTAATGGTGAGGCCTTCTGCAGCCTCCCTCGGAGTAGTGTACCGTCACCATGGTTACCCGCAGCCGAGAGGGGAGGAGGAGAGTGACAGTTCCACTCCATCCCGCGCTACACGTGAAGGGGGCGGAGCCTCCCCTGACAGCCGGCCGTGCGCGGTGACGTCAGAGCCCCGCCCTCCCCACGGCCCTCACGCACGGGGTTGGAGAGAGAAGCGAGGAGAATGGTGCGCGCTCGCGCGAGGGGGCCAGCAGAAAATGGCGAGTTTGTGTAAGAGCCAGCAATGCTCCATCGAGAGGCGCGGCTTTCGGCAGGAACTGGACTCGTGGCGCTACAAACTCATTCACTGTGTAGGTAAGCTTCTGTCTCTCTCTCTGCTCCCTCTGACTGACCGAGCCGGCTCTCCCCGGGCTTTCTGTGGTAACTTTGCGGCCCCTGTGGGGGGGGGGTCTCTCTCCCGCGCTGTCGGGCAGTGAGGTGGCGGTTCGACCAGAAATAGTGTTGGAGTGGGTGGGGTGGGCGCGCGAGGCGGCCGTTGGGAGAGAAACTGAGCGCGCGCCGACTCCAACGGCCGCTGTGAGGAGAGGGCGCGCGCCGACTCCAACGGCCGCTGTGAGGAGAGGGCGCGCGCAGAGTCCAACGGCCGCTGTGAGGAGAGGGCGCGCGCAGAGTCCAACGGCCCCTATGGGGAGAGGGTGCGCGCCCGGCCGGCTAGCTAGAAGGAGCTCGCGGGAACTCTCCCTCCTCAATTCCTCGAAGAACATGGAGCTCTATGGGCGCTCGAGGTAACCCCCACCTGCTCCCCCCGGCGTCCTGACTGACCGTGTGACAGGAACAATAATCGGGGCTGGCTCAATAACACTAATCACAATCTAATCCCCAAACATTCCGGCTCTCTGCACCCCCACCCTCCCCCTTGTTTCCGTTTTTATGAACTCGGGCCGCGCGCAGCGTTGCTTGGAACTCCGCCCTTTGGGCCAATCACAGCAAAGGCCCCGCCCACAGCTGTTGCTGGGCGTGTCTCTGGGAGGAGGGGGTGTGGGGTTGCCTAGCGAGGTCGGAGTGAGAGAGTAACTCCCGCTGATGTCGCGCGCTGACACGCCCCCTCCAGCACGCCCTACGTGCACGCGCACTGACACGCCCCCTGCCTTTCCCCGGCACGCGCTCTCTTACTGCCTCCCCCGGGGCGCGCGGTGCTGCTCGGCTTTTTAATTACACCCCCCCCCCCCCCCCCCCGTCAGGCTGTTACCCCCCCCCCCCCCCCCCCAGGTGTGCGGTATCTGGGGATGTGCCCTGCCGGTCCCCCCCGTGTGATGTTGCTGGGGCCGGTGATAATTTGGGGTGTCTCTGGGTAGATCGCAGGAGATGGGGGGTTACCCGGGCAGGTCCCCGCATTGATGGCGGCAGGGTATTGTTATCGGGTTTCTAGGTAATTCCTAATCGGGATCTTTATTCTCTCCCTCTGCTTTTTGGCTGGCTGTCATTTGCTGACATGCTGATTGGGGGTGTGCTGTGTGTTTTAGATGTTTGTTTAATTAAAGAAACTCGATGCTGTGCGCTCCTTTTCACTTAGCCCTCCCTCCTTTTCTGCAAACACTTTTTTTGTGTTCCTTGAATGGAGGGCAGGGAGGGGATGAGGGGGGTGTGAGGCCTAGCTCAGCTCGCCTAGCTCTGCAGCTCTTCCTGGTAGGACTCACCCCGTGATTACCGAACTCTTATCCGAGGATCAACAGCAGGAAGGCATGAGATCCCCCCCGGGTCACCGCACATTGCGGGGGAAGGGTTTGGGCCGACCGAAAGCTCCACTCTTACAGTATGTGTCTATTAATGTGCTTCCCTCCCCAGCCCGCTCCTACAGCGTTATGTTCGGCAAGTTTAAAAGCCAGAAACTAGATTTTTAAATCCTAAAAACAAACCCCCCAAAAATTTAAAGTTGCTAATGTGTGTTTTTTTTTTTTTTTTTATGGCATATTTATACTGCAGCCCCTCCTTGCTAATTTGTTTTCGTGGTACTGGCATGGTGCAATGGCTTTTTCTTTTTGTGGAAATATTTATTCCTTCCTTGATATTTTGACATCTTGCAATAACGAATTATAAACATAACTAATGGTTGTAATTAGCTAATTTTGACTCTTACCCAGTTCTTGGTTAAATCCTGCTCGTGACATTTTGACAGAAACCCATTATGTAAATTGTGCTTTTGTTTTTCATTCTTCAGTCATTTTAATATGTTATAAGATGTCTTTGTCCCTCCCTCAAACAGCATCAACTGTAATGTGAGTGGGTTAAAACGAAATATATTTTACTGTTTTATCTGACACTTAAATGTCAATGTTTTATTAAATATACGATATGAGTGTCTTTAAAAAAAAAAAAAATATATATTTTTACATGTTTTTGGGCAGTGCTTAATTTGTTAGTGGTCAACCATGTTCATGTACAGCATGGGAATATTTAATGATATAATAACATTGCTGGATCCTATAAAGCATTTTGACTTTGAAAGTCACACGCACATGCTTCTATTGTTGCTTATTAAATTTTGTCAAACTAGAGCAGCAATTATATTCTCTTCAGGAATTATTTTACTGCATTGAAAAACTTGTGTTTTGACATACCAAAAAGTACAGTTCCAGGTCTGGTTTCTGCTCAAGGAAGCCAATACTAGTTTCTCCTTCTTTTGCTTGTTTTTATGTAAAGCCAAAGTTGATTTTGTATTATTTGCAGATAAGAGGGATTTGTTTCTTTTTTTAAATATAGCATTCACACGTAAATTACAATGTGATTTTAAGTTTACATGCTATAAAAGGCTGTTAAAATGAAATGAAGCTATGCTATTTTGTTTAAGGTCTTTTTACCCGTTGTGATTGCTAAGTTATTGTTTGTGACAAAAATATTTCTTACTTTTTTTGTTTTCATGTATCAGGTGTTGTCTTAATGATTTTGGTATTTGTCGTTTTGTTTTTATCAAAAGGTTCAAAGTTTAAAATCACAAACCTTTTTTTTTTATCTTTACAACGTGACACAAAACTCTGAATTGATTGGTTTTATGATGCAATTTAAGCATATTCCTTGAGTTATGAACTTGGGCTTAATAGCACCAATTTGTTCTCTGCAGAAAACACATGCATGTTTTGTCACAGAAAGCTGCTCCCTCCTTCCCTTTTTTTTTTTTTTTTTTGAAACTGGGAGGGGAGCAAACCAAGATGCAATTTGTCACCTTTGAGTGCCACATAATTGCTCTGTGCTGGGCAATAAGTGTCAGCTTTTTTTTTGGAGCCCTGCATACATATTTTGAATCCTTTTTTTATTATACATTTTATCTAATGAAGGGATTGCAAAGCATGCTTATCAGACCCCTGGAAATCAGTATTGATGAAATGAAGGTTATACTTATCACTGACATTTATTTTGAGATGTAAATGTAATTTTGTTGCAACATTTATTTTTTTCCCATAAGTTACTTTCATTAGTTTTATTAAAGCGGTTAACGTGACTTTTATAATTGTAAATATGTGCTCTGGATATACAGATGCATATGTTTGCATTCGCTATATAAGTCCAAACTATAATTTTGTATTGGAATCATATTCGGTGAGGAATATTACACCGATCAGTGTTTTTCAATGTTTTTTTTTTTTTACAGATCATTTAAGTATTGTTAGCAATAGCTTTCAGCAGCACAGTGTACACATCATGGATTTTAATGCTCTGCCCCTCCCCCCAACAAAGCAAATCCTATGGACTTGGCCATTTTAAGACCTCTTCACATTACAAATTGTGAACTTGTTTGTACAGTTTTCCCTAATTCGAATGTGCTGTTACTCTGTGAAAAAAATATTATTCCTGAGTTGGTTATGTTTGCATTTAGTGCAGAGCGAACTCAGGGTTCAGTATAATTAAATCTTTGTAGTCTTTTTCACAGATTTGTAATCTTAAATATTTTAAGATTCTATCAGAATCGTGTGCCAGTTACAGCAGTGTTGTCACTTGTTTTCTAATTATTTAAAATCCTCTTCCTCCTCCTTATTTGGGGAAAATTAAAAAAAAAAAAAATAGGGATTCTAGCTAACACTAAATGTACCTCTACTGGTCAAATGAGTTCATATGTCTGTTTACATCAATGTTTGTGGGCAGTAGGTCCCTGATAGACTTTCGAGGTGATGGTGTGTTTTTTTTTTTGTTTTTTTTTAAAGTCTTGAATGCATGTGTTGTGGTGTTTTGTCAGATTCAAACACCTGTCTGTTTTGTGGATATGTTACAATGTATCTTTCAGGAACTTGGTATGTTAAGATTGCTAAAAATCTGTTAACTTTGTATCTTTATTTGCAATTTCAGGGTTTGTTTAAATTTTCTCAGTTATTACATTCTTGACAATATATCAAATTTTTCAGCTTTGACGTTTTGGTTTGTTTTTGTTAATTTGGCATAGCGGTTAATTCACATACTTGTACATACGAGGGCGGACACAAGCAAGCACATTTTGACAGATATCAAGATGAACTAAATTGTGTTGATGGTAGAGTAACCATATTAGGATGCAGCAAAACAATAGAATGCTAAAATGTTCACTTGTAACTTTAGGGGAGTTATGTTGGTGGTTTTAGTCCTTAAGTGGTACTGAATGAAAGTCATGAATTATATATTTTTACCTTTTTGAGTTTTGTGCAGCTGTTAAAAGCTGTGCAATACATTTTAAATTGACAAGCTTTAAAGGATCACTATAGGGCCAGGAACACAAACATGTATTCCTAACCCTATAGTGTTAACACCACCATCTAGCCCCTCATGTCTCCATAAATATAGCAAAATTTTACTGTATTCAAGACTAAAGCTGTAACTCTCCATGCTGTTAGACTCAGAAAAACAAGCTGTCTGCTGACATCATCAGAAGTGGTAGCCTGATCCAATAACAGTGCTTTTCCATAGGATTGGCTGAGACTGACAAAGAGGCAGATCAGGGGCAGAGCCAGCATGATTCAAACACAGCCCTGGCCAATCAGCATCTCCTCATAGAGATGAATTGAATCAATTAATCTCTATGAGGAAAGTTCAGTGTCTGCTGCAGAGGGAGGAGATACTGAATGGATGCATTTTAGGCAGTCATGACACAAGAAGGATTTCTAACAGCCATCTGAGGAGTGGCCAGTGAAGTTATCACTAGGCTGTAATGTAAACTCTGCATTTTCTCAGAAAATTCAATAAGCTGTAGTTGTTCTGGTGACTATAGTGTCCCTTTAAGCATGTTTTATCACATTTCAGCAGGTGAGTGCTTTCTGAGTTGGTTCTCTAATGTAATTTAGAATGTAGGTAAAACATGTCTTCTGCCAAACAAATTTGTATCATATTGCATTGCATTGCATTGCATTGCATTTCCCAATTTTAATAATCGTTACTCAATTACTATTAAGCAGCTAGCATGAAGTATAAGAATGCCCTTTACAGGCCTGCACAGTGATGGTCATGAACCAAGAATAACATTCCTACTACCCTCATGCACTATCGTGAAAGTGGCACACCTGGTTTATTTTGGAGGAAACAAAAAAGTACAAAAAATAAAAAGCAACCATGTCAATTTTAAACCAGATAGTGCCTATTTTGTCATAACATTCTAAGCACTAAAATATCAGAAATCATCTCCATCTTGGTCCAAATTTGTATTATATTGATTTTACAAAGGCAGAAGTGAACCTTTTGCATTAGTAATGGGGATCTTGTGGCTGTGCTTCAGTTGCTGAAATGGTTAGTTCAAGGTCTTGGGGTCAGTCTCAGTACCTTCATAGTACCATCACCACAACAGAAGCATGTAGTGGTAATGAAGCTTAAACTAAACCTTAGACTTTTAACAACTCACAAAGGACAGATTCCTTTAATTTCACTAAGATGTATTTGAAGCACCTCTTTCACCTTCGGGGGTGTTTTGCAAAAGCCCCGACAGTGAGCTTTGAGGCCTGGTGGTACATTAGAAGGTAGATATACTTACCTGGAGGTGGAAACCACCATCTTGTGTTTTCACCTCCTTGTGCTGATGTCAGTGCTGTACTCTTACACATGTGCAAGAGTACAATATTGATGTCTATGGATGATTCCTTTGGCAGCCTTTATAGACAGTTACTCACTTAATTGTGAATTCAAGGTGAATTTCCAATTTAAGGTCACAATAACCTAACTGGAGCTTGCTTTTTGTGACTGTCCGCTATACTTTAGCTTCTCTGACCTTAAAGGACCACTATAAGCACCCAGACCACTTCAGCTCAATGAAGTGATCTGGGTGCCAGGTTTCCCCCTAGTTTTAACCCTGCAACTCAGAGAAACTGCTATGTTTACACTGCAGGGTTAATCCAGCCTCTAGTGGCTGTCTCCCTGACAGCCACTAGAGGCCGCTTCCGCGATTTACACGGAGTGAATCACACTTACTTGATGCTGGACGTCCTCACGGAGTCCAGTGTCAAAAGAAATCCCCATAGTAAAGCATTGAGTAATGCTTTCCTATGGGCGGGTTTGAATGTGCGCTCGCCTTTGGCCGCACATGTGCATTCGGCTCCACTCCGAAGCTGATGTTGATGGAGGAGGAGAGGTCACCAGCGCCGAGGAAGCCTGGCACTGGATTAAGGTAAGCAAATAAATGGTTAACCATATTTGTATTCCTAACGCTATAGTGTTCCTTTAAAGTGTTCGTCCAACCACCATGACCACTTTTGCTATTCGAAGTGGTTATAGTCTTAGGAACCTGTGTGTGCAGCATTTCTGCTTGAAGTGCTGCACAAGCTGTGATATTTGCATGTGTGTGTCAAGCATGCACACTTTTGGCAGTCTGGAACTCTTCCAGACTGCCACATGTAATTTAAAATAAGAATTTCTTTCCTCTATTGCTCAGTGCGCGCATGGGCTTTGAGCTGGTTAAGCTCTCTTTCTCTCTTTGAGAAACCTTTGATTGGCCATGATATCAAACAGGGAGTGGAAGGCTGTACACCGAACTTTGCCTGGCACTGGGTTTTAGGTAAGTTTTAACTTATTTTTTTGCCCTTGTTTTAGTGTTTAGGGAAGGCTTAAAAAATAAAAGGGCCACCAAATAAGCTTCGTGTAATTCTTTAAATTTCAAAATTGACTCTGATTCTCAGTTTAGTAACCCTGTAAGTTTTACAATACACAAAAGCAAGCCTAATTCCCACAACTGTAGGAGCTGACAAAACGTAGATGCAGAATATCTGCCTCTTGTCAAGTTTTGTCAACTTTGTTCTTTTACCGCTTATGTTGGTACTACAAAGAAGTCTTCAGGATATAACCATTTTCTATGATTCTTTGCAATTTGCTAATTTCATCATAGAAATCCCTGGCAGAGCAGTGATTTCTGGAAATTGTAATTCAAATGTCAGCTGGTAACTTCAGAAACTGTGATGTGAAATACAGCTCACAGAAACCTTTTTAAGGGTATACACAAAAGACTTAATAAAAAAACAGAAAGGGAACTGTTACATTAACCAGCAACTGTGACCAGCATGAAGAAAGACTTTTATAATGGAGGTGACAAAGTAGATACAGAATTAAAAAAAAATGTTTTTAGTTTTGTTTTTCTTCAGAAATTATACAAAATTGAAAGTGAAAAATGTCATTTATGAAAGTGTATTGCCAAGGATTGAGATTTGTATTTTTTTTTTTTTTTTTTTTATAATTTGTCCAAACACTTGTACGATGCATGATGTTTGGTTCCCAGTGTGTACCTTTTGAGGGAATGGCACATCTTAAGGTGTTTGAACTCTGTATATGATGTTCATTATCCATAGAATTTGATATCTAAACAGCTCTGTGTTTTGGAAGGAGGTAAACATATTGCTGAGAGATCCTAATGTAAATGCTATGAATTTTAAAGGAACACAACAAGTAACATAAAGATACATGTGCTGTAGTGGTTATGGTGTCAGGAGTGGGTTTTATGTTTTGACCTCTTACCCATGGACCTCAAGGTGCTTCTTCTTTTCTCCTCTACTTCCGACAGAGCATTGCATTGCAAGGTCTTATTTTGCTTCTGTCTTAGTGCACCCATGCATATACCTAATCTATTCATTTTTTTTTTTTTTTTTGTGCAGTGATGCATTCACAGAAAAGTTCAGACTTTAGCAGTGTATTAGATGATAGCATGTAGGCTATGGTATGAAGGAGAACATCCCAGATGAGAAATAGATATATCTGACTAAATATTATGCATAGAGTAAGATACACATTTTAAAAATAATATAAAAGACAATGAACTAAACAATCTCAAACAGACAAATATACAGCCACTGGATCAGCCATAAAATCAACAGAATGGGTCAGCCTATTGGGTAAATAAGACCGAAGATCTAAGATCTGAAGCCTCAGTAGGTAACTGGCATCTTTCCAAGGGGAGTGTCAGACAATTTTGGATAGTTTCGATTTGGCTGCATTTTCGAGGTAGCACCTGACGCCACTGCTACGGCATATCTGATACCTTCCAGCTGACTTGTGGCCTAGGTATGTCATGTGGAGCATGAAATTTACTTGGCACCAGAGTTCGATTTGCCTGGTTGCATTTGCTCCAGCATCAGCTACTTCCGAACCCGCTGATCCAGTTTCTCCCCCCGAAGCTTGTGCATAAGGCAAGATCAAAGAAGTAGAAAATCTTGATTGGGCAAGCAGTTTTAAGTGTATCTGTTTTGGTTTACAAGCCACAAAAACAGGAGCAGGGCTATGTGTCCTTCTAGCAGGGCTGGACTGGGGATACGAAGCAGCCCTGAAAAAAAATATATGCCAGTCCAATAAGTCATTGTGCCATGTAGGGTTATATATATATATTAATATACACAATTGAAATAGTTAGCTGCACTCTCGGATTTCTTTAAAACGTAATTTTTGTTGAAATATTTAATAGAAGATCGTTTCAGTCCCTCTTGTGGACTTTCATCAGGATCATGAAACGTTGATCTTCTCTTAAATATTTCAATAAAAGTTAAGTTTTTAAGATAATATGAGAGTGCAGCCAACTATTTCAATTGCCTGGATACTGGAGCCCTGGTGATGCACCCGGTCATACAACTTTGAAGCCTGAGTGCAAGGCAAGGTACAACAGCTTTTTATATATATATATATATATATATATATATATATATATATTTATTTTATTGATTTCTTCTAATTCTAAATATTAGTTCTTTCAGGCTAATTAAATTATACAGTAAAGCATACTCACACACAGACAATCTTGCTGATGCACACAAATAGGCTCATTGACAGACAATCTCAATGACGCACACAGACAAGGTTACTGGCACACACACAAATTTAGTACAGACACACTATAATACACACACAAGCTTACTACAGACAAGCTCACTGCCATGCGCACACACGCTCACTACAGACAAGCCCATTGACACACACATGCTCCCTACAGAAGAGCTCACCAACACACAGATTCACTACAGACAAGCTCACTGACACACATATGGTCACTACAGACAAGCTCACGATCACACACATGCTTACTACAGGCAAGCTCACTGTACACACATGCTCACCACAGACAGGCTCCGACACACCCATGCTCCTTACAGACAAGCTCACTAACACGCACACACACATATGGTCCCTACAGACAAGCTCACTGACACACATACAAGCTCACTCACTAGCAGGCACGCGCACACACACACACTCACTCACTAGCAGATGCGTGCACACACACACAGACATCCACACACACAGAGGCAGACAGTCACTGACACTGAGGCAAACATCCACACATACAGAGACAGACATCCACACACACTCAGACAGACACGTGCACACAGGCAGTCACACACACACACTGACCTGCTTCTTACCTCCACATCCCTTGGAGCTCCTGGAGGCTGGTTGTTGGGGGAGCAGGGACTCCTTCCTGCTTCCTATGCAGCAGTTACCAGGGACTCCGCCGCACGATAAGCTCCGCCCTGCTGCACGCAAGCTCCGCCGCACGCTAGCTCCGTCCCCACCACAATATTATTATTATTATTATAATTTTTTTTTAATGATCCCGGCCGGCCATGTGTGAGCTGTGCCGGCCGCCTGGCTCTCCCTGCTCCCATGGGGTCCTGTGCAGCCGCACAGCTCACACATAGCCGGCCGGGATTACAGGAGCCTGATCACTGATTAAGGCTGTGAGCCCAGCCCCAGGTGCCGCGGCCCACCGGGAAATTTCCCGGTATCCCGGTGGGCCAGTCCGGCCCTGCCTTCTAGCCTGGCTCTCAGGCTCTCCCCCCCCCCCCACTTTAATTTTAAATACCTTTTTATTATATTGCTTCTTTTGATACCCTACACGCAATGCAACATTAAAGGGACACCGTAGGCACTGTATCTGCTTCATCTCATTAAACTGGCTATAGTGTCTGCAGTCCCCTGGTACCATCATTTCTTTCAGCATTAAACAGTTTTTAATGTTGTAATGTTTTTTAATGCTAAACAAGAGTCCACGGCAGTCTATCTGTGCTGCTTTGGCTAATAAAGAAGTATTACCCTGAGAGGCAATGGGCAGCTGTGATTGGCTGAGAGTGTCAGCTGACTGCCTTTAACCTGTCAGAGCTCCAACTGACGGTATGAATGGGTATGACAACAAGGAAGTCTGTAATCTCTGCCTTGGCTACACATACAGAAGGGACCGGACTGTGGGTGGCCAGGGACTCTTATTTTGTGGCATACTGCACACACATGGTGCAACACTGAATGGAGGGACAGTGCCAGGCCACTCCAGGCACTATAACCAATTCAAAGAGACAAAGTGGTTATAGTGACTACAGTGTCCCTTTAACATTAAAAAATAAACACAAACCTTTCTGTTTTTTTTTTTTTTTTTTCCTTTCCCCAGACCACGTGTGTCCCACTACTGTGTAATTTATTTGTATTCTACTACTGCCTCAGAGTACAACAGTACCCCACATGTATACCTTTTGTCAGGTGTTTGTGGGGCTTGTATAGTCAAATAGCACACACTTCCAAATTTTGACAGGCCGTTTTGCTTACTTCCTAGAAGTTATTTGATGAAATAACATTATATGTCACCGCACTTAGTAGCGTCAATCTTTACCGCTATTTATTAGACTAACTCTATCAAAAGCCAACACCAACTCCAGTGCACTGGTATTTCCTCAACTGATGTCACATCAGAAGGTTCCCCCTGCTTACACATTATAGAGTGTTCTGAGCACTCTCCATTGTGTGATTGCATCATGAGAGGGATACCTTCATCTCGTGCTGCAGATCTGTGTGCTGTCCCTGTTGATAACACAATGATCAATGATCTGCAGCATGCATTGCCCAGTACATAGAATCATTAGAGATACCTCTGTTCCCCTCTCTTAGATGTCTGAATCCCTCCAAATTAAAAAATAGTCACTGTGATTTAAAGGGCCGCAGCATAAACTTAACTATGGCCTCAGTTATACGGTGATACAAATAACCATACTTCCGTCAACAGCTGGTTGAAATAAATTATTTCCTCCTCTTAAATTGAAATTAGGAATATGGGATGGCTTGCACATATATAAATTAACTTCCATCACCCTGTTCCTTCTTTTTAAGTCTGGGATAATTGGTTATCCTGATTTTTAGGGTACTGTTCCCCGTGAGCATTTTTTTATTTTTTTTTATCGTCTTTTGTTATGACTATTTTACTTTGTTAAAAACTCAGAGGAGTGTTGCTTTTTATATTACACATTTGTATAAGCTGGTATAAACTGTACTTGTACCACCCTCTTGTTAAAAATAAAGCATAAATAGCCCTTTAAAACTGTTCTTTTTGAGTTAATGCTCTAATAAATCATGAAGCTAACTTTGTTTTTATACAATTCCTATTATTTTGTTGGTACATCAGTGTGGAGAATTTTGGTGACAACTTCTTCCCTGTCTTTTGTGTTTTTTTTTTTTTTTTGTGTGTGTGTGTGCTTGTGTGTTTTGTTTTCTCTCGCGCTCTCTCTCTCTCTCCACTCTCTCTCTCTCCACTCTCTCTCTCCCAGTTTAGGAAAATATGGTGTATAAACTAAAATGTAATGGAGTTGTGTAGAATTGTCAGAGACCTTATACTTTTAGGCTAGAATAACTGAATTGGAAAAAGCTTCAACTCGGCTATTTTTCCAGCTCAAGTATTTTGTCCTAAAATATGCAATTCCCTTGTCGGTTCTTAGATTTATGATTAACAGCGACTGTTTTCTAAAAATCAAAAGGCTATTTAAAGACTTGAATTCATGAAAACAAAATGTTAAATGTTTCTTCTTCCCATCTGTAGCATATTTGATGTCACAGATCTCTGACATCGCTGAGCACCTGTCAAGGTAAAGCCTTGCATAGGGGACTAACTTCCATTCCATTCAGCTAGCCTCCCAGGCCACAATTCCATATTGGCAAAAGATGAATATGGGCAAGGGGAAACAAGTAAGTTTTAAAGGCTTAATTCAACCTCCATGACCGCATCTGGTTTTAGAAGTGATCATGGAGCAAGGGGTCTTTGCTTGTCTGCCGTGATTTACACGAATGCTTAATGTTAAATCTGTGCAAAGTAATGTCAGCTGGAAGCACACACTGCTATGAGCAGCATTTATTTGCATGACGGAGTTTGACTTGGTTTTCTAAGTAGAAATGCCTCTAGTGGCTGTCAGAAAGACTGCAACTAGAGTTGTATTCAACCCTCCAATATAAACATTGCTGTTTCTACAAAACTGCAATGTTATACATTGAAGGGTTAAAATGACCAGACCATGAAAGAACTTGCGCCCCTACAGACAGAGACTACTTCCGATATATATACAAATCAGGGATTTTGCACAACAGAAAGACATCAGGGCAGCGGAGACTACCCCCATGACATTCTTTGACAGGATGTGCTATCGACAATGTACCACCACATAGGCTCGACCGGAGTGGACAAGAGAGGGCTGAGGTATACAGACCTATGGGAGGCTGACCTGGGAGAGGTGCTGGAAGGTGTGGAATGGGAGGATATATGGGAGGCTAGCGCACGATCCTCTGTATGCATGACTGCAAGAACAATCTTTTAAAACACTCTTCAGGTGGTATACCACACGGGTAAAATACCACATGAAACTTAGCCCAACGGACATATGCTGGCGTCAGTGTGGAGACAGAGGAAGTTACATCCACATGTGGTGGCACTGTCCCAGGGGCAGGGAGTTCTGTGAAGGAGTGGTAGACTTGATCTCCAAAATCTTGCAGAGACTGGTTGAACTTGTGGGCGTGTCTCCTGTCCAGACCCACAGACAGCCTGACCAGGCATGAACAAATCTTACTTAATATGATCTATCTAGCTGCCCGCAGAGCCCTAGCAAATAAATGCATGTGCACGGAGGAGCCCCCTCTCTTACTAGTCCTATACAAATTCAGGGACAATTGCCTAATTGATACGCAGACCTCAATGGTCCGCAACTCCTCTAAAACCTTTTACATGGTCTGGGATCAGTATGACACAGACAACATGGCGGGTGGGCGGCTTAGTGTACGGGGACAGACATACTAAGCAGCATAGTTTTAATTATTGTTTGTTAAATGTGTGTAAATGAACTGAAAACCATTGACGATGTGCACCCTTTATACAAGGCCCTAGATATGGGATATGACACTGTGCCACGGCAACAGTTATTCTGTGTAAACCGATATGTACCACTGTTTGGCTTTTGCGTAAGCTCATGTATACTGCGACCATTGTCAATGTAAAAATAAAGAATTAAAAAATGACCAGATCATTGCACCCAAATCACATCATTAGGATGATGTGGTCTGGGTGACTTTAGTATCCTTTTTAACACAGAACTGTAATATCCTTGCAAATGATTTGTCATTCGCCTACCTCCGTAAATGCTAGGGTAAAATAAGGAACTGTCATTTGTGCAGTGCTGGTAAGAATTAAACACAATTCCTTCACCAACACTTTGTGTGTAGGGCAGTGTCATCTCCCTGTGATAATCTGCACAGGAATGCTGCGAGTGAATGCACCCTAATTTGCATGGTACCAAGAGATTGTAGAAAAGCAAAGAAAATATGCCCACCCTTTCTTTTTAGGTCTTTTTTATGCTCTTCTACAGACTGTTCATTTATATGTGAAAAAGGAAACCTTTTTCAGTGTGGGTGTTTGTTCGTAGACTCTTTACTGGTCTCACCAGTTCTGTATTCAGTGTCAGCCAGGTACTGTTCTGAAAGTTAGCTTAGAACCAATCAGAACAAAGTTATGGTTTTCTGTTGCTAGTAGTAATTAGCAGCAGCAGGGGTCAGATCAAGAGCTGTGTGGGGTACGTTAAATATGCCCATACAGCTTCACTGCACCATGACATAAAGGTTATGGGGCCTGCAGAAGGGACTGGTATGCACAAATACCCAAGGGCAGTGGGTGGCACTGAAAACACGGATTGTTCAGTGATAAAGTAAATGACCATAGCTACTCTATAGAAGTACCAGTTGTCGTATGGCCTGCTTTATTGCGAATAACCACAGATCAGCATATTCCATACCCACTATGGTTATTTTCAGTAGGAAAGATTTGCCATTAACTCCTTAAGGACACATGATGGAAATAATCCGTCATGATTCCCTTTTATTCCAGAAGTTGTGTCCTTAAGGGGTTAAGGAGTTCTGCAGACATTGTAAAAACCCACAACTGTAATACGCTTGTATATGACGTGATGTTTTTATATTGGTTGTAGGGAGTTAAGGTTTAGCTAGTGTATTTTTAATAATGTGTTGAGATACTATTTTGTAGGGCAGCAGTGGGATATGCATGTCCCATTGTTTACAAATAGTAAGAGTTACAGTCATTGGAAGCAGCCTTTTCAGCCTCCATCTTTAAAGTGAATGTGCCATGACAGGTTCAGTCTTAACTGAAATGATCACCATTGACATTGAATATACACTGTCACGAACGTGGTCTATTGGCCTGGCCAAGACAGTGGGGAGAGTGTGGATGTGAAAAGGTTACATCCACATGTGGTGGCACTGTCCCAGGGGCAGGGAGTTCTGTGAAGGAGTGGTAGACTTGATCTCCAAAATCTTGCAGAGACTGGTTGAACTCGTGGGCGTGTCTCCTGTCCAGACCCACAGACTGCCTGACCAGGCATGAACAAATCTTACTTAATATGATCTATCTAGCTGCCCGCAGAGCCCTAGCAAATAAATGCATGTGCACGGAGGAGCCCCCTCTCTTACTAGTCCTACACAAAATCAGGGACAATTGCCTAATTGATACGCTGACCTCAATGGTCCGCAACTCCTCTAAAACCTTCTACATGGTCTGGGATCAGTATGACACAGACAACATGGCGGGTGGGCGGCTTAGTGTACGGGGTGCACCCTCAGGGCACAATAGTGCCAGGAAAACGAGTGTGTTTTCCTGGCACTATAGTGGTCCTTTAAATGCAGAGAAACTCAACTTGGAGTACATCAATGTAATACATAAAAAAAACTAAAGTAATACAAGTGTACAAAATCAATGTGGGCACTTCTAGTGTGGTGCCTGTAAATGGAATGTTTGTTTGCCAAACCCAGTTATCTTTACAAGGCATTAAATGTACATAGAAGAAGTGGAATTTGGGTAGAGATAGCATTTATTTTAATAGCGATGTAGAATTAGAACTGCATATTGTCTCTCATTTATTTGAATTACCAAATGTATGATGTAGGATTTCCAGCTATCAGAAAAGTAGATTCTAAGCAGACAACTGTAAGAGGATAGACAGTCAACATTGTAACTGCAATGATTTTGGTGAAAGTGGAAATTTTCATTTGAGCTTTGAGTTAAATGAACATTACCACATAACTTCCAGTGGCTATGGTGTGCTCTGTGGGATCCTAGTCTGGTAATTAAACCTTATTTGGATAGAATTATGTATGCTACTGTATCATCTCTAAGCTACTGATGTAAGTGAAAAGTAAAATAATTGAGTTATGCTTCACATTGAAGTGTGTCTTGGTCCAAAAAGATTTGGAACCATAAATAATAGGTCTCTAGGATCTGCATTTCCTGTAACTGCTTTTTAATTGAACAGACTAGTAACAAACAGTACAGTAAATCTAAACAAAAGTAAAGTTTAACTCCACGTTTTTCAGCATTTTTTTTTTTTTTTTTTTTACAAGGGCTTCCGCAGTAGGTGTCCAAGTTTTACTCAGTGCCATGGAAGTGCCTCTAGTGGCTGCTAGTAAGCAAGTCACTAGAGGTGTATTAAACCCTGCAATGTAAACATAACCGTTTTTATAAGCAAAAAAAATAAAAACTTAATATCTTGAATTTCAGGGTTAAAGGACCGGGCCACTTCACCCAGGTCACTTCATTGAGATGAAGTGGCCTGGGTTACTTTAATGGCCATTTAATTATCTTGAATATTATGTTAACGAAAATCAGTTTGTATTTTTTTTTAATGCCAATTTGAATGCACCCTGTAACTAATGGCTATCAAATTAAGCATTAGTTAAAGGACTACTATAGGCACCAAGACCACTTCAGCTCAATGAAGTGGTCTGGGTGTCAGGTCCCTCTAGTTTTAACCCTGCAGCTGAAAACATAGCAGTTTCAGAGAAACTGCTATGTTTCCCTGAGGGTTAATCCAGCCTCTAGTAGCTGTCTCACTGACAGCCGCTAGAGGCTCTTCTGCGATTCTCACTGTGAAAATCACAGTGAGAAGACGCTGGACGTCCATAGAAAGCATTGAGTAATGCTTTCATATGAGCTGTTTGAAAGTGCGCGCGGCTCTTGCCGCGCATGGGCATTTGGATCTGCCGTTAGCAGGGGGTGGAGAGTTCCCCAGCACAGAGGGCGCCTGGCGCTGGAGAAAGGTAAGTGGACAGGGGAGAGGGGGAAAGAACACTGGGACAGTGGAGAGGGGGAGGAAAGAACACTGGGACAGTGGAGAGGGGGAGGAGAGGAACATTAAGGGGAACAGGGAACAGGAAAGGGAAAAGGAACACTGGGGTATCAGTGATCACTAAAGGAGAATGGAGGTTTTTCATATTAGATTTATTAAATTAATTAAAAAGTCTAATATTAATAGAATTATGGGGGGGGGGGAGTATTTTAAAATCATTTGGGGAAAAAATAAATTTTGCGGCCTAGAGCATCCCTAATTTTCTGTTTCGGCCTAGAATTTTCATTACGGTGCATCCCTAATTTTCAGCCTTCAGCCGTTGTCCTGTTCTATCATGTACACAGTGTCACTATCAGACATTAATATCTGTAACTCGTCTTTTCATCCATTCCTGAAAACCAGTGTCAGTGTGAAAATTTTTACTATGTTAAGTTGTGTAAAATAAAGAATGTAGCCTTACAGGGATTTACATTGATCGACCTCTCACTGCTGTGACCACTGACTGTTTATATAACTGTCAAAATATACAGCGCAACAGTTGCCTCTATAGACCGTAGCTGTTACATGCCCCTCATTGTTCTGGAGAGTGGTGGCTAGCTAGTTTTGGGCTTTACAATGACAAACTCTGTTTAAAATGGCACTGACACTGAATAATAGTGGCTGAGATTTCCACATCTTACTTTGAGATCAAGAACCAATATATGCCTGTACTTATGGTTAGGGTAAAATCTTGACAGTGTGTTCAAAATATAATTGAATTTTATCTGTTCTGGCTATATACATTTTTTGTTTATTGTCAGCATGCACTGTATGCAGCCATTTCAGTCGCTTTTACTCCACTGTAAGTGCACATACAAGTGAAGGCTGGTTATCTTTGTTTGATCCTTTCCCCATACTAGGCTACTCGCTGCCGATCTCTATGAGAAGCACTGGCTTGATTGAGCAGGTTAAAACTCTCAAATCAAATGTTATATAAAATAAGCACACACTCTCTAAAAGTATATATTTAAGTAGTTTGGTTTTATTTTGTGTGAAATAGCAAATAAGTCCAAATAATGTGTTGTGTCGGAGTAATCTGGCTCCTAATTATTTAATTTGTTTCCTGACTTCTGATTCTATAGAAATATGTCAAACACTTTTTTATGGCACTGTTTTTCTTGAAATGATCTTATCCTGAATGTTAAAGGCTTATGCCAAGCTCTATGACTACTTCAGTGATTTCAAAGAGTCAGGGTGCCTGTATGTGAGTGTCATTTTGAAACGCTTCTCTGCTACCGAAGGTATAACTCAGTCTCCAGTGGTGGCATTGGGGCATCATTAGCCAGCACGGAAAAAGAGTTCCAGGTGGCTAATGTTAATTCTGTGCATGTGTGGTGTGTCCCCACCCTCTCCTAGCCGACGACCTTCCCTCCCTGACTTCCATCCCGTTCCAGTGAGGTGGAGTGACATAAGTGGAGGAGGATCAGACTGAGGGGAGAACTTGTCCAGCAACAGTTACTCTAACCAAAAACTGTCATCCCCTAGTTTATCAAACCATTTAAAACAGTTCCTAATGGAGATGGGTACATAGCTGATTGGACAAAATTAACTGATAAATGTTAACTCTGAATTATCAAGTTATCGCTGCCCAAGTTGAGCAGAATTAACTTTTATGTGCAAGCATTAAAATAAAGTACATACACTTGTGTACATTTTAAATGATGTCTCCACCCCCAAGAACTTTTTACCATGGCAACTGTAAGATTGTGTGTTATCGAGCTCCCACTTCCTTTTAGATCTGGCCAGAGGTTTTTCAGAATAAATTAAAACTATAAATAATCAATTGGACATGTGCGAAAAACCTGGCACCGTGTATAGCATCACTCACTGTCTTAAAACGGGTCTTTCACCACCTGGGGTCTTGGCATAATTTGCTTGGGGGGCAGGCAATTGGTGAGATTTATGTACCTGAATCTGTCCTTTGCGGGCATCGTCTGAGTTGTTCAGTACAGCATTGAGATTTACAAAGAGTCCCACAAGATCCTCCATAGAGAGAGCGGCTAATGCGCACATGCCACAAGTCTGACAGTCACTAGAGCCAGTATTAGTCCTGCAATGTAATCATTAAAGTTTTTTTAAAATTGTGATGATATGCATTGCAGGACTAAGTGAGACAGGGACTCTGCACCCTGAACACTTTAATGAGCTGATGTTGCCTGGGTGTGTCCTTTTAAAGTGTTTCAATGTTTCTTAAAAATATGTTTCATTTCATTATAATTTCAAGCAGTCCAAAGTTTAAAGAAACACAGTAGGGTCAGCTTAAAACCACCACTTAGGTGGCTTGCACCCTTAGAAAGGGTTTAAAACTAACCTTATTTCCAGCTCTCCACGGGTCTGCAGGCGCTGGCCTCGCCAACGATCCGCCTCTTTGGCTGACATCAGCATTGATGATCTCTGCCAATTCAATGCTTTAACGTTTAACATTTCCAATTTCAGGAGTAGGTAACCGTTGGCACTGCAAATGTTCTAGAGTAGACTATATCTCCTCTAATGTTCTGTCGGCATTATGGCTGTAAGATGTATGGGGGATGTAGTCCTTAATATCTCTAGTGCCAAATAGTGCTTGCTCCTGTCCTGTCTGTTGGCTTTGTTGGAACTGCTAGTGTAGCTTCTGATTTATTCATTAAGATCTTTACGGGGGGGAAAAAACAACAACAATTGACTACCACTTTAAGAAGTGCAAGATTATGCCTATGATGCCAAAAAAAATAAAATCTTTGAATTATGTTTTTACTGATGTCATCAGAAACAAAAAGGAGGCTATGTCAAAACTCTTGTCATAATTTATTTAACAAAAATAAAGCCAAAATGGAGAAGCTATGTGTGAAAAACTTAGTACACACTTACTGCCTCCATAGGAATTAAGAAGCTAAGTAGAAGACAGGTGCTACTAGTCAAATGTCCTTGATTAATTGTAAAAAGTGTTTTAGCAGGACAATGATCCCCAGCAAATCTACATCAGAATGGCTGAAAAGGAAAAGAATCAAGGTATTGCAAAGGCCCCAGTATAAGTCCATACCTCAATTCGATTGAAATGCTGTGGTGGGACTTTAAGAGAGCTGTGCATAAACAAATGCCAGCAAACCTCAATGAACTGAAGCACTGTTGTAAAGAAGAGTTGGCCAAAATTCCTCCATAGTGATGCGAGAGACTGATAGTCATACAGAAAAGATTACTTCAAGTTATTGCTGCTTTAGCTGGTTCTACAAGCTATTGAATCATAAGGTGTACTAAGGTTTTTACACATGGCTTCTTAACTTTGGCTTGATTTTTGTTAAAGGAATCATAATAACAGTGTAGTATGTCATGTATTGTTCATCTTGGGTTTTATTTACCAAACTTAAAGACTTGCTAAAGAACTGATGATCGTTATGTCCTGATATGTGAAAACCATAGAAATCAAAGAGGGTGTACTTTATTTTTCCCATCACTGTATGAATGTATACTAGAAGTACTATTTTTATGTCACTTGTACCCCTCACCTTGATTATTGTGTACTGCCGGTTTCAGAGGTAAATACACAAGTGAAAATAGAAAATAAATGCTGTGACATTTTGCAGATCTGATTATTACAAGCTCATTTATCTATTATCTGTCTTTTGATGTAAATGTGGGCTAACTTTCTGCAGCTCTCCCATAATACCATGTAAAATGTTAAAACTGCTAGAACATATTTCAGCTTCATTCCTGTTTTAGCAACTCTGGCTACATAGGTAAAGGAAGTTTACTTTGCACTTTGGTTTTTTAAAATTAAATGAACACTCGATTTTCACAGTGAGAATCGCGGATGCGCGTCTGGCAGCTGTCAGTGAGACAGCTTAGAGGCTGGATTAACCCTCAGTAAACATAGCAGGTAATCATTTTCAGCAGCAGGTTTAAAACTAGAGGGACCTGGCACCCAGACCATTTCTTTAAGCTGAAGAGGTCTGGGTGCCTATAGTGATCCTTTAAGGGGTTAAAAAAAAAAAAAATACATTCACATCAATTTAATAACATGATTAGGTTTATGTGGTTTGCCTCTTAATTTTTTTATTATTATTGGCATTTATATAGCGCCAACAAATTCTGTAGAGCTTACTACTGCAATCTCTAATGTTAAAGAATTGGTTATAGGAAAAGAAGAAAACCAGGCATTTGACTTCGTATCTGCACTTTGATAACGCAGATGGGTGCTTTAATCAAATTAATAATAACCGCTCATTGTAGCAGTTACATTGATTTTAGGCACCCTCCTCGAGTTACATGTCAGTTTAGCATTTTTGGGATTCCTTATTTGAAAGTGTGGGATTGTCGGTTCTATAGAAATTCCTTATTTTGGCAAATACTGAATGATATGGGGAGTCGGTGTTAGCTGTTCTTACTTTCTTGTGTTGTCTAGTGTCATTGCACACGTTTGCTTTTTCATATGGAGACTTAAACGGACACTATAGTCACCAGAACCACTACAGCTAAATGTAGTGATTCTGGTGTCTATAGCATGTCCCTGTACTCTTAGCACTTTTTACATCGATGCTTAGTAACAACACTAGTGACAGTCACTCAAACGGCCACTAGAGATGCTTCCTCTGTCAGTGCTGTGCAGTGTGCAGCACTGGAATTCATTGTCTCCACTCTTTGCATGGAGGCACTGAACGTTCCCAATGGCGATGCTGATTGGTGCAGTGTGGTGTTTTGTTGCGCATGCGCAATTGCCTCCCTATGCTTTCCTGTTGGGAATGATTCGATTGGCTTAGATCACCAATATTGATCTCTGCTGCAGCGAGACAGATGTGGGAGTTAGTATAAGTTTTAACCCTTAGTGTCCCTGGAGACTTAGTACCTAAACTGTGATTTCTACGCTGTTGGTGTTTCTGACACTTTTAGGAGACATGAATGTTCTGTAGAGACTTCTGAATACAACCAATGCCCTAAATTGTCTTCCAAATACATCATTATTTCTCTTCAATGAAGCATCTTCCCTATACATATGAAAACTTTGCAACTTGGGGGCAGTAATAAAAATTCTAAATAAAACGTAGCCTGTAGCAATTATTACTACAAGGACTTTGCTTTTTTGCTTAAAGGGATGCTATAGTCACCTGAAAAACTTTAGCTTAATTAAGCAGTTTTGGTGTATAGAATATGCCGCTGCAGCCTCACTGCTCAATCCTCTGCCATTTAGGAGTTAAATCCCTTTTGTTTATGAACCCTAGTCACACCTCCCTGCATGTGACTTGCACAGCCTTCCATAAACACTTCCTGTAAAGAAATCCCTATTTAGACTTTCTTTATTGCAAGTTCTGTTTAATTAAGATTTTCTTATCCCCTGCTATGTTAATAGCTTGCTAGACCTGGCAAGAGCCTCCTGTATGTGATTAAAGTTCAATTTAGAGATTGAGATACAATTATTTACGGTAAATTACATCTGTTTGAAAGTGAAACCAGTTTTTTTTTTTTTTTTTTCATGCAGGCTCTGTCAATCATAGCCAGGGGAGGTGTGGCTAGGGCTACATAAACAGAAACAAAGTGATTTAACTCCTAAATGACATTGAATTGAGCAGTGAAATTGCAGGGGAATGATCTATACACTAAAACTGCTTTAATTAATTTAAGTAATTTAGGTGACTGTAGTGTTCCTTTAAACAAACCTGTATTTTACAAACCTGTATTCCTGACACTAGTGCTGGTGTAGCTGTTTAGGTCCCTTGTCCCTTTCTCTGTAGAGTGAAAATATTTTTTTTCCTCACTTTTTCTCCCACGCACTGTCGGTCTTGCTCGGCTGGCTCCGCCTCTGTGATTGAGATCATCAGTTTTGATGATCTCCGCCAATCCTATAAGTTCCCATGGAAAAGCATTGGGAAGCTATTGCATATGCGTGGCAAAACGCCAAGCTACGCCAATCAGTATCTCCTCATAGAGATGCATTGAATCAATGGATTTCTAAGGGGAACTTTCAGCTCTTTCATGCAGTGCGTGGAGATGCTGAATGTAGGTGGTGCAGCATTGCAATAGGAAGCACCTCTAATGGCCATCTGACTGACAACCACAAAAGGTACTACTAGGCACCAATGTAAACACTGCCTTTTCTCTGAAAAGTCAGTGTTTACATTGAAAAACCTGCAGGGACAGGCAATAGACATCAGAATCTCTACATTAAACCGTTGTTGATCTGGTGATTATAGCGTACCTTTAACTAAAAAAAACGACCAGACTGTTGGTGGGTACTTTGTCGTAATTGGCTCCATATGTAGGACAGGCCTCTGCATTACCTGTTAGAAAGAAGTTCCACTATTTTATGGTTTTGATTTGTATTTCAATGTTGTTTATCTTGACTTCCTTTGATTATTATTATTTGTTTTGAAAACGACTGCAACAACCAACTAAATTTCTTTTTTGTTTTTAGGATTTGAAAGCATTTTAGAAGGACTGTTTGGACCTGGATTACTTAAAGATCTCAGCTTGTTTGAAGGTATGTTCTTCCCTTTTACACATATGTACACTCAGAATAGTTTGGTTACTTATTGAAATAAATAAAAAAAAATAAAAACTTAATTTTTCCCCCCAGAATTTTCTTTTTGATAGTTGCAATAATATTATCATCTAAGAACTGACCTCTAGATACATGTGCCAAATCAATATTCTAAAATACAGATGACTCTTATACTCATATGGCACATCTTACAGTAAAACACAGTGGCACACATTTAAGTATGCTTAAAGCGGCACTGTCATGCCGAACTTACCTTTCCCTAATCACTTTCTCTTCTCTTCCTCTCTCAGGATCTGTTCCTCATTTCTTCCTGTCTGCTCTAGTTTTCTTTAAAACATAAGGCAAAGTAGTTCCACCTCCTGTGGTCAGAGCAATTTCCCACAATTCTCACCTTTCCTCCGTTTTCTTGTGATGCCTTCTTTCACTATTCCCGACTGTCCTGTCATTTAGACAGGACGCTGGCGAAGCTACCAAATTTCGTCCTAAGAGAATGAGAACAATCGTTACTTTTAGTAGATAGCTCCCTAATTCCCACGGTATCAGGATGCTATCTACCAAAAAATAAATGGGCCCCATGGTGGGGCATCTCTTAACTAGGGGGGGAGGGTTGGGGGTGAGAAACATAGTGTCCCCCTTGCCCTGCGAGTGGGGGCTATTTAACTAAATGGAGGCCACTTGGCCCCCATCCATTAACTGCGGATGGGGACCCTAAATGGCCTATTTTTTAGCCCCAAAAAAGGCCAAATAAAAATCCATAATACCTGTTGAACTTTAAAAATAAATTAAAAACCCGAGTACGAAAAAAAACAGACTGAGCTCCGCAGGGCAGAGGAGGCAGAGTACTGCAAAACCTTTTTTTTTTCTTGAAAAATTTAAGCATGTAGCAAATACCATCAGCAGGTGTTGTGAACCGCAACTATATTGATGCCTTGCCATTATTATGGTTGTTTGAGCATTATGAACGATGTATTCCACAACACCTGGAGTGCCAAGGTTTCCTACCCCTGTTATAGGCTTTTGGTCCTAATAGGTTAGTAATTAAGTATTTTCTACATATTTACATGTTTGAAAAGAAAAATGTTTTGGAGCATTCTGCCTGCCACATCTGTCAAATTGCTGGCCTGTAACATGTAGAACATTCTAAGCACTATAATCAGTACAGACCACTGTAGTAGGTATGGTGCCATAGTGTGCTGACTCCCTCCCAGACAGAGTAATCAAACTGCTTTTAAAAGCAATTTAACAACCTACCTGAATCATGCCAGGTGCCCCTCACTGCCTCCCTTGCTTCAATTTGTGTGCTAGGGCCGTGTGCTGGCTTAGATCAGTGGCTGGGGAGTTGGGCACTGGATGGGACCCATGTAAGTTGTCCAATTGTTCTTAAACGGTTGCACTACTTACTCTGGGGTGACACCAGGACACTCTGGCACCATAACTACTACAGTCAGTCAATCTTTAAAATTGTGTTGGTGCCTAAGCTACAATATTTGATTGGAGGGTTTACAATTTAGTGTTTACATAAGAAGAAAGGGGAATATTGAGCTTTAGATGTATTTGTAATTTTGTTGTTGGTGCTCAGTGAATCCCTGGAATGTGAGTAGACTTTAAAGGACCACTATAGTGCCAGGAAGGACCCCCTCCCGCCGGGCTCTAGGGTGAGAAAGGGGTTTTAAACTCTTACCTTTTTCCAGTGCCGGGCTCCCTCGGCGCTGGGGAATCTCCTCCTTCTTCTGCCGTCATCGGCTGAATGCGCATGCGCGCCCATTCAGCCAGTCTCATAGGAAAGCAATCTCAATGCTTTCGTATGGACGGCAGCGTCTTCTCACTGTGAAAATCACAGTGAGAAGCGCCTCTAGCGGCTGTTAATGAGACAGCCACTAGAGGCTGGATTAAACCTTTTGTAAACATAGCAGTTTTTCTGAAACTGCTATGTTTACAGCAGGAAGGGTTAATCCTAGAGGGACCTGGCACCCAGACCACTTCATTAAGCTGAAGTGGTCTGGGTGCCTATAATTGTCCTTTAACATAATATTCTCAATAATCTAGAATAATTTGGCGTACCAACTTGTAATGCATTACGTTTCCATCTAACATATAAGCAGCCTGCACATTTTGCATCTGTACTTGTATTAAAGGGACACTATAGGCACCCAGACCACTTTAGCTCATTGAAGTGGTCTGGGTACAGTATCCCTAGTGCACTTTGTGTTGCAATGTTAAACTTTGGAGTTCCAGAGAAACTGCAGTGTTTACATTTCAGCACAAAGTCTCTCTCCCAGACAGCCACTCGAGGCTCTTCCTGTATCCTAACGGACTGTAACTGACGCTGGACATCCTCACGCTCTGCGCGAGGGCATTAAGCGTCCGATTGATTCAGTGCTTTCCTATAGGGAGGTCTGATGTACGCTTGGCATTTGCCGCGCATAAGCTTTTAGCTTCCGCTCGTCAGAGGAAGCGGAGTTGCGAACCAGCGCTGAGGAACATCGGTGCTGGAGTAAGGTAAGTAAAGGGGTTTTAACCCTTTATTCGTGTCGGTGGTGGGTGCGGGGGAGGGTGCATGGGAGCGGGTAGGCTTTAAAGTATCACTTTAAATCACAGTCTTTGTTAAGGTTTTTTTTAGATTGTTATTGTGTTTTTGTCTCAGAGCAATATTTTTATTTATTTTTTTTTAGCTTTCCGTGAACACTATGAGGGGTACTTGTTTGATTGTGTATTAATATAAATAATAAAATAATAATAATAATAGCTTCTGGCTTTAAAGTTCAAGATACTGAAAAATATGCAAACAATTTTATTGCACCTGCTATTTTGCTTAGTATGTTATTTTAAGAGGTCGTACTTAATTATGCATGTTTTTGTCCATGTTTGCAGACTGTGAACCTACAAGTGTTTGTGACTGGTCTTTTGATGAAAACTGCCTTTTTTGCTGTGTAAGACGAGAAAAAGTTAAGGTAATCTGATAAAATGTCTTGTACAGCGAGTACTTCATCAATATGTTGTAAGACTACCAACCCAAACAAACATTGAAAGTACCAGTACTTTTGTAGTTTATTTAAAACACCGCTTTCTGTAGCAAGTTTCTTGTTAACCAGTGCCAGTTTGCATAAATCCAATTTTGTTTTTACTTTTTTGTTACTTTGTTATATTTTTTTTTTCTCTGCCTCCTCTGCACCATTACATGCCAGGCACTTGCAGAATATAAATTCTTTGAAGACTGAGGGCGTGGCTGATTATGTCTGAACAAATTGGGTGTGCTCAGATTGCTGGGTAAATGTTGATACTGTAAGACCCGGGATTGGGCTCACAGACTGCCTGGTGTTGGTATACATGTGAAGACTAAATGCACCTAGCGTTGGTGAAATACATTTTCCTTTCTGCTCATCAGTCTATGTGATTGGAGTTAAGTGGGGTGAGTGCAACTCCATATTTCCATAGGAGTGGGGTGCATTTTATGTTGCTTGGAGAGTTCAGTACAAGAATATTTTTTTATGGTAATTAGCGTATTCATTTGGAGCTATTCCTGATAATAGGGAAGAAAGAGGCTCATTTGTGTGACATCTCATTCCAGTGTGTTGTAGAGCATAGTGTAATTTGTGCGTATCACTCCATAGACTTAAAGCGACACTTTTAACACCAGAACCACTACAGCTTAATGTAGCAGTTTTGGTGCAAATAGCCTGTCCCTGCAGTCTCTAAATTGTAAACACTGCCTTTTCTGTACTATTTCAGACACTTATAGAACATTGTACAGCAATATGCCAATGAGCATACCCTGTTTTTGTTCCTTTATCGATGTCCTGCTGTGGCGAATTGCACCTAGGACACCCCCATGGTCATTTGTGGAACTAATGTAAAGAGGGCCCTGGTGTTGGACCCTCTTCTAGCTTAAAGATGGCCAAAAAGTAGATCATTCACTGTTAACCAACTCCCACAATGCTTGGCATCTACCACTTGCCTATCCTTGCATGGTTGTGTTTCTGAACAGTGTGCATTTGAATATAAGCATGTTTTATATGGATTGTGTGTGTGTCTGTATGTGTAGTTGTATGCACTTTGCCATTTGAATGCAATGGTTTGTTTGGTGTTTGAATGCATTAGTGTATTTCTACTTCCTGGTTTGCTTGAGCTCGGTGGAGCTAAACTCAAGAGGCAGCAATTGCCAAGAGCACCTGCCTTGCAAAGACTTCTCATTGAGCTGTATGAGGAAGTTTGTGATTTCTTTATAAAAAGAAATGAAAAAAATGCACAATTAAATGCATGCAGCACTGTGCATTTCAGAGGGGGCATATCTACATTTATTTACTTGTTGGAGGTGGGGGGGAGGGCACTGGAGCTCCCCTTTTATGGCTTACAAACTTGACTCTTACATTAGCGACAACCTCCTTACACCTGCGCCAGAAGAATGTGTATGGACCTCTACAAATCATGGATTCTATTCAATAAAAGCGGTTTGTCTTTGACAAATGGAAATAACATCTGTGGCAGAAAAAGTAATAAAAGTAGGAGAATACTTCTTAACCATCAATTTGAGAAAAACAATCCATACTTCCCCATGCAATGCTTTTATTTGAATAGGAAATGGCAATTTCTAATAAGGACGTTTTGGGAATGGATATATTGTTTTTTTGCATCTATGAAATAATCTGTTGTCATGCATAATTAGACGTAGAGCTATTTTGCACACCAGGTTATAATCTCTTCAGTACAGAAAACATGATACTATATCTTTTTCCTCTCATTTATAAATTACAATAAAGCTGGTAGGATTTACACGGTGGTTTAGTTTCCTTACAGTGATATAATCAGAATCTAGTAAAGGTAAACATACACTTAATATAGCTTTTCTAATGGCATTGCAGGAGCCTATCTATGTAAATTAGATTTGTATTTGGAACTGCTCCCCCTGGAAATGTGCTGAATCTCTGAGTTTACTTGTGCAACCAGTCCTGGCTATTTACCATTGCTGTTGAATAAGACTCATCTGGTGGGGACAAGATTTGAGGTATGCTTCATTTTGAATGGGCACACATCAAGGCTTGTAATTTGGAAAATGAGTTTAGTGTTTGTATATGATATACTATTTTATATACAATATTTGCTAATTATGACCTTACTACTGAGTAAACCGAGAATTGCAGTGAATTTTTAAACTTGAATTGCAGAGTTTAGGCCAAAGTAGTTGGGCCAATCTTTTCAATTCAGCTGTCTTTCCAGCTTGCCTTTTCTGTGTTTTTTTTTTTTTTTTTTGTATTGTGGTTTTTAATTCATCATAATTTACTGTTTAGTGAGCAAACCCATTTTGCTTTGGTATTGGTTTGGCGTGAGGTGTGAAATTGTGAGTGAAAGGTTGTTTGTGGCAGAACGTATTGTCTCTGCACATCCTTAAATATAAATGGAATTCAACACAATCTGGTTTTTGTATGTTTAATAAGCAAAAGCATGTTGTCATTTAAAGGACAACTGTCACCTTAAAACTATTTTTAATATAATCCACTATTGAAGTTTGTGAAAAATAATGTTTCCCATATTCTTTCACCTGCTTTACCATTGTTATCAAAATTAATGTTTTGTGCTCTTTCCCGCATGCGAAGTATCACTATGTATGTTTCCAAAGGAGAGAGAAATGCACACACTATGGGGAACACACCCAGTAGGGGGCTTACTAGCAGGGGAGGGGTCAAGCTCCCAAATACATCCAGTCAATTTACATACAAATGTATGGATATAACTGTTTGTTTCTTCGTCGTTTAGGAGTGCAGAAAATAAAAGTTTTGGCACTTCTCCTTGACAAAGGCACAGGAGAAGTGCTGAAATGTTTATCTTTTGCACTCCTAAATAAAAGACTGCCACTCTAAGAAACAAACAGTTATGCACAGACACTTGTAGTTGAGTATCACTAGTCTTTATATTATCCAGCCTCAACACTGCTGCTCCTGTACATACCTCTATCTGTGAGGGACCAATAGAAGGGATGTGCGTGCCTGCACTGTGTGAGGGACCGATAGAAGGGATGTGCGTGCCTGCACTGTGTGAGGGATCGATAGAAGGGATGTGTGTGACTGCACAGTGTGAGGGACCGATAGAAGGGATGTGCGTGCGTGCCTGCACTGTGTGAGGGACCGATAGAAGGGATGTGCGTGCCTGCACTGTGTGAGGGACCGATAGAAGGGATGTGCGTGCCTGCACCGTGTGAGGGACCGATAGAAGGGATGTGCGTGCCTGCACCGTGTGAGGGACCGATAGAAGGGATGTGCGTGTCTGCACCGTGTGAGGGACCGATAGAAGGGATGTGCGTGCCTGCACTGTGTGAGGGACCGATAGAAGGGATGTGCGTGCCTGCACTGTGTGAGGGACCGATAGAAGGGATGTGCGTGCCTGCACTGTGTGAGGGACCGATAGAAGGGATAGGCATGCCTGCACTGTGTGAGGGACCGATAGAAGGGATGTGCGTGCATGCACTGTGCGTGTGAAAGATGGTTGGGGTGTGAGGGAAAGATAGAAGGGATGTGCATGCCGTCACTGTGAGGGAAAGATGGAAGGGATATTACACGTGCCACGCCCCATCCTCTTCACAAGTAATAAGGGCAGAGAATATGTGTTGTTTTTTTTTTTTTGCCCATGTTATTAACACCATAGGGTTGGGGGCAGAAGAGGGATGTTTAAGCGGTTTGGGAGTGGTCTAAACTTCACTTCTCTACCACTCACTCCATGGCAGATTCACCTGAGTACTAAAGGGAATTCTCCAGTGCCAGGAAAACATATCTGTTTTCCTGGCACTAGAGGATCCTAGAGTGCCCCTATCCCACGTCACTGAAGGGGTTAAAACACTTACCTCAATCCAGCACCTGTGTTCCTCTGCGCTGGGTCAGGCTCCGGCGGCGTGGGAGACCTGCCACGCACGCTCATTATACCTCCCCATAAGAAATCATTATTCACTGCTTTCCTATGGGGATTCTGGTGGCGCTGGAGGTCCTCATGCATAGCGTATGGACACCCAGCATCGTTTAGACGACCAAAAGTCAGCCACTAGAGGAGGACTTAACCCTGCAAGGTAAATATTGCAGCTTATAAAATTGGCAATAATTACACTTGCCACGTTGTGGGTGATGGGAGTTGGCACCCAGACCACTTTAATGAGCTGGAGTGGTCTGGGTGCCTACAGTGTCCCTTTAAGGCCACCCTGGCCTGCAATTCAGCTGAAGGGGAAAATAAAACCTGCCCAGTTCACATACTTGTGGTGTTATATCTGGGGTGTGAAATTTATATAAGAACAGTAAAAGTGGGATCAGTATAAAAGAATGGGGGAGGTTACTGAGGTGACAGGCATTAAAGGGAGTTGAAAATGATGGAACAGATGAAAACCATGTTGGTTTTATTCAATACTTTTTATTCAACACTTGGATTAGTTTATCTGCTGTATTTGACTTTATGCAAACTGGCTTCTTTATATCTGCAAACCTCTACAGTGTATAACGCTGTGTTTTAAGATACAAAATATAGAATAAAGAACAGCGCACACAAAACGGAAAAAAAATAGTTTAACATTTTACTTAAAATCCCCTATCTATCTTAGAAAGCAAATATGGGGATTCAGTTCCACCATATGGCCATATTGTGTTAAGCCTACCAAGATGTCACAGTACCCTAATATTGGTGGATCCTACACTAATTTAAACATAGGATATTGATATGTTAACTGCAATACTACTGCAATACTTCTTGCTTAAAATACTTCTAGCAACTCTCCTCAATTTATACGTTCCTGTGGTCACCTCTGAAAGGGCACCTACAGTGGATGGGTGGGTGCTCAGCTCAATAGGAATATAGTCTGGATTCTAAATCTGCACTGAAAAAAAGGGATTTGGGGGTACATGCATTTCTAAGTAGTGGTGCTGCTGTAAAAAAAAGACCAAAGTATCTACAAAATACATAATTACATAGCTGAAAAGAGACTTGCGTCCATCAAGTTCAGCCTTCCTCACAAATGTTGTTGCTGTTGATCCAAAAGAAGGCAAAAAACCTGGTCTGAAGCACTTCCAATTTTGCCACAAACTAGGAAAAAATTCCTTCTTGACCCCAAAATAGCAGTCAGATGTCTCCTTGGCTCAAGCAGCTATTACCCCACTAATTAGAAATTATATCCCTGTATGTTATGTTTTTGTAAGTATTTATCCAATTTCAGTTTAAACATCTGTATGGACTCTGACAAAACCACCTCTTCAGGCAGAGAATTCCATATTCTTATTGTTCTTACTGTAAAAAAAACTTTTCTTTGCCTTAGATGAAATCTCCTTTCTTCCAGCCTAAATTTGTGACCTCGTGTCCTATGTATAACCCTGTTTATGAATAGATTTCCAGATAAAGGTTTGTACTGGCCCCGAATATATTTGTATAAAGTTATCATATCCCCTCTCAAGCGCTGTTTTTCCAAACTAAACAGATTTAATTTTTTTTAACCTTTCTTCATAACTAAAATGCTCACTTCCTTTTATCAATTTTGTAGCTTGTCTCTGGACCCTCTCCAGAGCCATGATATCCTTCTTTAGAACAGGCGCCCAAAATTGCACAGCATATTCAAGGTGTGGTCTTACCAGCGATTTCTAAAGAGGCAAAATTATATTTTCATCCCGAGAATTTATGCCCCTATTTATACATGACAAAATCTTACTGGCCTTAGCAACTGCAGATTGACATTGCATATTGCTGCCTAATTTGTTGTCTATAACAATTCCCAAATCCTTCTCGTGTGTGGTTATCCCTAATTCACTACCATTTAGTGTGTAAGTTGCTTGTGCATTCTTAACCCCGAAGTGCATAACTTTGCATTTCTCTATATTAAATTTCATCTGCCATTTTAGTGCCCAGTCCCCCAATCTATCCAAATCTCTCTGCAGCAAAGCAATATCCTGCTCACATTTTATTACTTTACAAAGTTTTGTGTCATCTGCAAACACTGATACATGGCTTTCAATGCCTATTTCAAGATCATTTATAAATATGTTAAATAGAAGTGGTCCCAAAACAGAACCCTGAGGGACACCACTTACCACTTTTGTCCAGCCTTAAAATTTACCATTAATTACAACTCGTTGTACTCTGTCCTTAAGCCAATGTTCTACCCAAGAACAGGAATATTCATCTAGACCAATCTCTTTTAGTTTGAAGACTAACCTATTGTGAGGAACCGTATCAAATGCCTTGGCAAAGTCCAAGTAGATCACATCCACTGCAACACCCTGATCTATACTTCTACTTACTTCTTCGTAGAATGCAATTAGGTTAGTTTGACATGACCTATGTTTCATAAAACCATGCTGATTATTGCTAATAACAAAGTTCTTCCCAATGAATTCCTGAATATTATCCCTTAATAGCCCTTCAAATATTTTCCCAGTTACAGAAGTTAAGCTCACAGGTCTATAATTTCCAGGCAAGGATTTTGAACCCTTTTTAAATATAGGAACAACATCTGCCTTCCTCCAATCCTCCAGTACAACACCTGAAACAAAAGAATCTTGAAAAATTAAATACAGAGATTCACTTATTTCCCCACTTAGCTCCTTAAGTACTCGTGGGTGAATACCGTCAGGCCCCGGAGCTTTATTTACATTAATTTTCTTTAATAGCTGTAGCACCTTGTCTCGAGTTATCCAATCACAAGTTATTTGCAAGTTTTTTGCAGCAAACATTTGCATATCTCTTGCCATAGGATCCTCATTAATATATACTGAAGAAAAATAGTTATTTAGAATTTCTGCTTTTTCCTGGTCTTCATTAGCTAATAAACCCAACTCTGTTTCAAGTGTACCTACACTCTCATTTTTTGTTTTTTTAGAATTGATGTACTTGAAAAAAAATTTGGTGTTGGTTTTGCATTCTTTAGCTATCAATTTCTCATTTTCTAGTTTAGCCACTTTAATTGCCTTTTTGCAAGTGTTATTGGCTTCCTTATATCTTAAATAGGATGCCTTTGATTTGTCTGATTTAAATGCCCTTTTCTTATTTTTAATCTCTTTTTTTACTTCTCTACTAAGCCACATTGGTTTTAATTTGTTTCTTTTATATTTATTACCCAAATGGTACATACTGAGAAATGTACCTTTCTAATATATGTTTGAATAGTTTCCATTTATCCTCAGTGTTTTTATCACTAAGGAGTTTATGCCAGTCGATATGTTGTAGAGCTGCCTTAATCTTATTGAAATTGGCTTTTTAAAAATTATATGTTTTAGTATACCCCACCTGCTTTTGCTTTTTTGAGTTTATTTCAAAATTTACCATATTGTGATCACTATTCCCCAAATGCTCCCCTAGTTGAATGTTGGTTAAAAGATCAACATTGTTTGTTATGACAAGATCCAGACAAAGCATCCTTTCTAGTTGGTGCTTGTACCAGTTGTGACATAAAGGTGTCATTTAACACATTCAAAAACCTGATTCCCCTTGCTGAAGTACTAGTCCCTCTTTCCCAATTTATGTCTGGATAATTAAAATCTCCAATAATTAACGTGTTACCTCGATTTGCAGCTTTCTCAATTTGCTCTAACAGCTGTTCTTCCTCATTAATATTTACATTAGGTGGTTTATAACATATCCCAACCAATAATTGATTTCCCTTTGTTTGCCCCAAGCAGATATCTACCCATAAAGCCTCCACCTTTTCCTCGTCACACTCCACATGCCTAAGATTTGACTTTAACTCATGGTTGACATATAAACATACCCCACCACCCTTCTTGTTTTTCCTATCCTTCCTAAATAACGTGTACCCATTTAAATTAACTGCCCAGTCATGTGTCTCATCCCACCATGTTTCTGTTATGCCTATTATATCATATTGTTTATTGTATGCTATTGCCTCTAGTTCCCCCATTTTGTTATATAGGCTCCTTGCATTAGTAAGCATACATTTAATATTATCATGAGTCTTTTCTACTTTTTGTGAATTATCAATATTACATACCTCCTCTGTTCTGAGTTTTCCCCTCCCCCCATATCCACCCCCTTTGTTCTGAGCTAACGCCCATCTCCTTTCCATCCTATCTCCATTTTCTAGATTGCTTTGACCCCCCCCCCTACCACTAGTTTAAAATCTCCTCCAACCTTCTAGCCAGCCTATCCCCCAGCACAGCAGATCCTCTTCCGTTTAGGTGCAATCCATCATGACTATACAGGTTGTACCCAAGCGCAAAATCGGCCCAGTGCTCTAAAAACCCCAAACCCTCTTTCCTGCACCAAGACTTTAGCCACGCATTGACCTCTCTAATCTCCCGCTGCCTTTCTGCTGTAGCGCGCGGCACAGGTAATATTTCTGAAAAAATTACCTTGGAGGTCCTTTTCTTAAGCTTACTTCCTAGTTCCCTGAACTCATTCTTTAGGACCTTCCATTTTCCTCTGACTTTGTCATTGATACCAATATGGACCATGACAGCTGGGTCATCTCCAGCCCCTCCCAATAATCCCTCCACTCTGTCGGCAACAGGCCGGACCCGAGCACCCGGGAATAGATTAAGGAACGCTCACAAACAAAAAACATTTCAAATTTTATAAGGCTACTTATATTCACTTAAATTAGGACACAAATATGTAGATTCAACATATGGCCATATTGTGTTAAGCCCACCACTGTGTCCACAGTAACCCAAAATCGGTGGGTCCTGCACTAATTTTAAAGTGACACTGCACAAATACAAAATAAATGCAGTTTAGCGGATATTGTGTTTTTGTAATTTAAAAAAAAAATGGGGTGGGAGGGGAAGAGGGGGGCTTGGAGTATATCTAAAAACAGCTTGCAAAAACTGCTGTTCTCTTGTCTGTAGACTTTGCAATCCCTCCCCTTCTAACCCCGCTATGATTGTCAATGGCTGTACAGTCACAGACTTCGCGATGCAGCTTAAGAGTCTTTGTATTTAAAGGGACACTGTAGTCACTATAACCACTTTGTCTCTTTGAATTGGTTATAGTGCCTGGAGTGCCCTGGCACTGTCCCTCCATTCAGTGTTGCACCATGTTTGTGCAGTATGCCACAAATTAAGAGTCCCTGGCCACCCACAGTCCGGCCCCTTCTGTATGTGTAGCTAAGGCAGAGATTACACACTTCCTTGTTGTCATACCCATTCATACTGTCAGTTGGAGCTCTGACCGGTTAAAAGCAGTCAGCTGACACTCTCAGCCAATCACAGCTGCCCATTGCCTCTCAGGGTAATACTTCTTTATTAGCCAAAGCAGCACAGAGGGGATAGACTGCCGTGGACTCTTGTTTAGCATTAAAACATTACAACATTAAAAACTGTTTAATGCTGAAAGAAATGATGGTACCAGGGGACTCCAGACACTATAACCAGTTTAATGAGATGAAGCAGATACAGTGCCTACGGTGTCCCTTTGAGTATTAGGAAAGCAAGTGCTCTGAGCGATTGCTGCCTCTTGCGTTTAGCTCCACAGACCTAAACAACCAGTTAGTAACAGGACCTGTTGTCTGATCGACAGCCAGTGGTGTGTGGCATATTTTATAAAAGTTCAAATTTCTATTGAAATCTGCAAATACAAAATGAACAAAATAGGACACACTCATCATGCATAAAGCTTTTCAGCAAGCTATAGTGCTTTAGGGGTCTGGAATGTCCTTTTAACATGGGAAATAAACATTCTAACTGCAATTCTTACTGCTTAAACCGCTTCCACAGACTCCACCCATCCACTACAGGTGTCCATTTGGAGGTGACCAAAGGAAAGCATAAATTGAGGAGAGTCTCGCTAGACCTTTCACAAATAAAATATATTAATGAAATCTTTCCAAATGTCCCTTGTTCACTGTGACCTCTTCCTTGCTCAGAAGAGGCTGAGATATCCAAGCCTTTCCTAAAGTATATGACAAGCTTTAAAATCTATGTAGCATTAATAATAAAGGCTTTTTCAAATCACAAATTCTAATTCTGGTCTGCTAGCTGCCTATCACTCTTGAAAGAGTGGGGAAAAAATGGTGTATATGATCAGAATAATTTTGCTCAGTTCGTTTGATTTTGTTCAAGTTCTTGTAAAAGAAGTATGTTTAAGAATGGTTTAGAACATTTCTGTACAGCTGAATGTATACAAAAGTTGTCTTTTGCATTAAATCAGTGGACTGTGCTGCAATAAGTGCTTTTGGTTTCTTTTTAGGAACATTTAGCTGGCTTTCATAAACCAGTCTGTGAAGCTGGCCAAGAAAACTTGCTTAAACAAGATCAAGCAAAAATTATTCGACTGGAAAGACAAGCAGAAGAATTTATCAATGCAGTCTTCTACAAGAAAGGTTTGTGTTTACTCACTCTTGCTCAAATGCAGGCAATATTTGTCTACTTTTTCTAATGTGTTGCAGTTCTTGTTTAAGAGTCTGTATCATTTGTAATGCTATTAATGAACAGGGAGCTTTGTTTTTTATTGTTTTATACCTCTTACCTTGTTCCTAAAACGAAAATCTAATTGTTTAATAAGCCACTGCCTGCTGACTTCTTTATTTTGAGGTCTTGATATTGATGTTGGATACTGATATAGATCCAAATATTGGTCTTTGTTCTATTCAGAATTCAAATTATTATAACAAGTGCACTTGGAGAAGCGTGAATTAGACACCAGACGTGTGTTGGTTATCAAAATAAGCCTCTGTCGTTTCTTCGTCAGATGGGTTTTTATACATTAAAAAGTGCTTACGTGCAAATACTCATAGGACAGTAGTAGGAAGGGAGTGAAAGGGTAAAAGGAGTACAGATAAGAAATAGGGATGAACATCATGTACATATAACAAATAAGTTCAGAGAAAGAGAAAGAACAGACTGATTTGAGAAGAGACAGCTCAGGTGGGGGCTATCTGCTCCCGGAACTAGACATATACGGTCTAAAGTGTCGTTTAAAGCATCAAGCATTTCCTGAGTCCAAGTTAGCCAAAATATGACACCTTTAAGCTTGAGCCTTGGAATCAAGATAAATTCTGTCACAATACGCAATCCTGATCTTTCTTCATGTCTTCTATGCATCTTGTTAATAACCCTTTATTTACTCACACGATTCAAAGGCCAGTGTTGCCGATGCTTCTCCTCCTAAGTAGGGCAGGGTGGGGGTTTCTGGGGCTAATGCGCATGTAAGGTGTGCGCATTAGGCCCTCCCCATAAGGAACCATTGCCTCAGGACGAAGGATACCCTAATGTAGAGCGCGAGGATGTTCAGTGTCATTTAGGCAACCTGAAGTCTGTTAACATCCAGACAGTGCCTCTAGTGGCTTTAGGTTTGTCAGTCAATGGATGCAGTCTTAGTCCTGCAAGGATATCATTGCTGTTTCTCTAAAACTGCAATAATTTACATTGCAGGACTAAGAGGGACAGGGACATTGCACCCACACCTCTTCAATTAGCTAAAATGGTCTGGGTGACTATAGTGTCCCTTTAATCTGCAACATCCTCACAAAATTACAAAAACACCCCCTTGCACCCTTCTACTCGCCCTGACATTTTCCCCCCAATGAATTTCCTAATATCCTTGCCCTTTCTAACAATGGTTAGTAATCACTTCCAGCCATATTTCTCAAATGAATCTCCCCAACCATATTATTTCAACCATATATTTGCTCTTGACTTCATTAAGATCCCTTGTTATGTTGTTTCCTGTTCATCACCCCATGGCCAGATCTTTACTTCTCTCCCAAACAAGACATCTGCAGTTCCAAGGAGATCCTTCACTAAGTGACATCAGACAATAAATTATTTGTGCTATTTGCCCTTGTGGTGTGCAGAGAATAGTGTTTCTTAAAGCACATAATGTCAAACTTTTATTCTGTGCAAGACCTTGCTGGATTCCCATTCTGTCAGTTTTGGAGAAAAATATCAGGTTATTGGTATAGGTGAGCATCCGTACTGGATTACTAATGGGCTGCGATCCCTTCACATACACAAATAAACTGTCTGTTTGCTGATGGAACATGGGACTCCTCGTTTGCAATGGGCGCATTCTATCTGTTTTTGTAAATGTTGAGGTTAGGAAAGGGGTCTCCAATAAGCCCTACTCCCATCAAAATGTCACCATCTTTAAGTGGTTTAATTGCATGTGCAGTCAGTTGACAGTTGAACTGGCATTAAACCAGGGCTCAACAAATCCTAGGTCACCATGGCAACTATGAATATTGTGATGGTGCCTGGGATTTGTCAACTGGTTCCCTCCAAAGTGGGTGGCTGGCTGGCTGAATGGAGGTGGGCGGGCTACCAGCTGTAGGGAATGGAGCCAAGCTCTGCATTAAACCCTTATTGTAAAGGGTCTTTTATAAGATAATTATATTATCTGTGGCATGAGACATGTTTTACTGTCTCTTCTTATACACGATTGTCCATCTACATGCTTCAATGGTTGGTACGGTTTTGTATCTAAAGGCACTAGTTTGGTATTTTGTTATATAGAAATCAAGCTATAGTTTCTGTCTTTAGTAGTTCATTCACATTATGTATATATTTATGTATAAGAAAAAATAGGGTTTATTTTGATACCTTGTTTGGTACTTGCCAGTTAGACCCTAATAGTATGTGTGTGGTGGTGTTTTTGTGTGTTTTAAAATGTTTTTATTTTATTTTATTCATATTAAACTATATTTCAAATATAAATTTTTGATATGATCTGAATTTGACCATGCTGTCAGATTTTGGTAAGATATGGTACCCGTAGAGAAGATGATTACAAGTGAATGCAGTGTTAGAGGAGAAATTTTAAATCTTCATTGATTCCTTTGCTAAATGTAAGCTTTCCAGTAGTCTTAAAGGGAAACTATAGTGCCTTCTGTCACTTACCCTATTCCAACGCAGAGGGTCAGCTGGCGGGGGAAACCTAATGACATGACCTAAAGTTGCCTAACAAGCTGAATGTCCATCTAGTGGACATCTGGTAGACAGCCACCAGAAATGGAGTTAACTCTCAAAGGTACTTATTGCAGTTTATTAAAAACTGCGTTAATTACCTTTGCAGGGTTAGAGGACCTAGAATACTGCACCCACACCACTTCAATGAGCTGAAGTGGTCTGGGTGCCTATAGTGTCCCTTTAAATTGGAGTGGCCAATGTCTGGTCAGGTTCAATGCCTGTTCGTGTTGTGTTTTGTTTAATTTCAATTTGTGCTTAAAGTGCATCTGTATTTTTTTTTCTCCCAGACAGTCCTAGGGTCTTTGATCCTAATATACCCTTAGTCGCTCGTGAGATCATGCAGCGAATGATTCGACAGTTTGCTGCTGAATATACCTCAAAAACTAGCTCTACTCAGGACTCCAGCCATCCCAACAGCACAAAGAACCAAAGCTTGCCAAAATTATCCTCTGGAAAAAGTTCACCACCTCCTGCTACAACTCAGAACCCTGTACTTAGCAAGCTTCTGATGGCTGACCAAGATTCTCCTCTAGACCTCACTGTCAAGAAGTCACCTTCTGAAGAACCCTGCGAGCAAGGTATCTTTGAGTAGTAATTTCATTGTTATATAGTATGTATTCAGATATTTTATTCGGGGAAATATGTTATGTCTGTTTCCAACCTTAGAGTGCTGTGGACTGTGTATTCTGGTTAATTTGTGCTTTACATCTAGGCAAGTTGGTGTATATGTATTAAGTCCCAAATCTGCCACCCTCCCCAAAATAAAAAACAAAGGATATACAGAAGTAACTTGGGTGCTTCCTAGTGCATAAATACAAAGTTCAATGAAGGAGCACTAACAGGATTTCTTTTGAAAAGTGTATTCACAAGTTCCAAAAACTAAATCAATGTTTTGACCCACCTGGGTCTTTATCAAGATATGGGAGAAAACAACAGGTGATAAACTGCTCCACACAGAACTGAAAAAATCACACGGGTATACTCAATCTTAACTAACCCAATAATGTGTAATAACTTACTCTCTCTGGAGTAAAGTGATTTTGTTTTTCGCTACCAGGGAAACCTCAAAATATACACCTATATACTTAACTGTCTGTAAAACCATTGAGACCTATTACACTGTTTTTTGTTGTATTTATTTATTTTGAGATTTTTGTGGTACTGAAATACAAAAGCACTTTACTCCAGAGAGAGTACGTATATTCATAATTTATTACACATTGGGTTACTGTTAAAATTGAGTATACCCGTGTGATTTATTTTTTCCCCCCAGTTCTGTTTGGCGTGGTTTATCACCTGTTGTTTTGTTACATTTCTATATCTTACGCAAGGTTTGGGAATCCTTATAGATTTACAGCTGCCTGTTCATATTATAGTGAGCACCTACACCTGCCCTTTTCTGTACACTTTATCAAGATATGTATATAACCATAACCATCAGTAAACTGGAATTCTTTGGCAAACCACAGTTCATTTTCTCACCTGCACTCTTAAGTTTCCAAGTTATTTAACTTGTCCATTTATTAAACTGCACACACCGCACCTGCTAAAAAAAATAAAAATCAACAATGATTTATCAGGACTTCAAATTTCTAGTAGCCATTAACGAGTGAATTTTTTTTTTACTGTGACCGTATGCGGTAGCTTGCAGTGGCGAGTAACTTAAGCCTGGCTTGTAGCATAGGACTTCAAATTGTAAGTCCTGGTTTTATTTGAATATGTTTAAACATAAGCTATAGTATCTCTGAACTATTAGTTGCATATAAATTCGGAGTCAATTTACTGTCATGGTGCTCGCAACTTTGTCGTATTTAAAAGTGCATTAGATTTCTTCGATACATTGTGCTATCAGAAATGTTTGCAAATTTATGGATTTTTATACAAGGCCCTTTAATGTTTTGGCCTCTACCCACCCATCAATCAAATCCTCAGCATTAGACCTATGTGCTGGTGGCATAGCGAAAGTGTGTGACAAGAAGGGTTAGAGTACGCTCCCAAAGGCAATTCACTTGCTTCCTGTCACACTGTTAATCCCCCAGCAGGTGTTTTTCACATTTCCTGGGAAAATACGGGGCACCCAATGCCAATGTGTTAATATTGAAGCCAGCATATTGTTTTCAGCAGTGAGTATATCCCAGTTCAGAATGGTGTCCTCATAAAGTGTCAGTCACTGCAGACAGGGGAAGACATTGGAGGGTTGAGGTTGCAGCATTGTAACGCCCACATACTCTCTGCGAATGATTGCGCTACAACGAGGTAGCATATACGTAATGGCAACTAAACCACAAACACATTACTTTTTCTGATAAGTTATATTGTTGGTTCTTTGGGAACTGTTACGGCAGACGGTACGTCAAATGTGTGTTTTAAAAAATTTTTTGATTAAAAAGATAATGTACGTCAATATTATTTTTTTGGTATACTACTAAATAAGTAATTTCTGTTTTGATTCTGAAGTTTTGCAAGTTATAATCTGAATATACAACCTCATACTTTTTTTTTTTTAAAGTCTTAATGTGTATACATTTGCTTATTATAATTTTCTTTTTTTATATAGATTTTCAACCTTTATGTAGCTTCCCCCCTCCCCCCCCCAAGTTGTCAATTTTTCATAAAATTATTATAATGAAAATTCCATATTTCTTTTGGTAATAAGAATGATACATTTAAAAACAACTTTTTTCAAAACAATGTAAAAAAAAGCTTAAAAAAAAAAAAAAACTCAATTTTTTCTTAGAAAAATAAGTCCTCTTTCAATTATTTGCAGTGTAGAAAATAACAGCTTAACACTGGCCTGGATTATTGACAGAACCATAACTGCTAGTTGATCAGTTCTTAACAACCCTTGGATAAAAAGGAATTGCTTCTTTCAGTTTTCAACTTTGATTTACGTACATTTTTCAAATGCACTAAACATTTACATTTGTTGTTGAAGACTCTGTAAATTATAATAATAATGCAGTTTAATTTTTTCATATTTAAAAATGGCTATTCCTGTCTGAAAAAGTAAGCTTTTTAAACATTTGTTTAATGTGCCTCTGTTTATTAGAGCAGTGAGAGGGATATATGTATTTGCTTTCCCTCATGTCCGTGTGCACTACCACTTAGTTTCAAATCAAAAGAAACCACCACTTTATCCTTTTCATGCAAGCAAAATAATTGTAGAGTGTTTAAACAGTGTTTTTTTTTTTGTTTGTTTGTTTGTTTGTTTGTTTTTTACACGCTTAAGGCTATTTTATTTATTTAAAAAAAAAAAAAAATTGCATTTATGTTCCTACAACACAGTGTTACTATATCAGAGTAGGCACATCTTTTTTTAAAAAAAAATTGGCTACTAGTGATGTCCTGAACGGTTCGCCGCGAACTCCTCATTGAGTAAACTTTGACCCTGTACCTCACAGTCAGCAGACACATTCCAGCCAATCTGCAGCAGACTCTTCCACCTCCTGGACAGCATCCATTTTACATTCATTGTGAAGCTGCATTCTTAGTGAGCTGTCCAGGAGGTGGGAGGGTCTGGGAGGGAGGGTCTGCTGCTGATTGGCTGGAATGTGTCTGCTGACTGTGAGGTATAGGGTCAAAGTTTACTCAATGATGAGTCCGCGGCGAACCGTTCGGGACATCACTATTGGCTACATTTAAATTGCTTCTGCCTCTGCCTTTACAAAATATTGAGGTCAAAATTCTTTTTGCAAAGGTAATGGCAGAAAATGAGGATATAGAACTCAAAAATCATTCTTGCCCACTCACCGTTGTTTAGTGGAAATTGAACCCTAAAATAAAAGTCACTACACAGCATTTCTGTGCAGCTGCCCAGGTGCATCTGAGATTTCATAGGGAGGCAGAGACAAAAGCCACATTGTAGCGGATATAAGTGTTTGGGTGTTCTGGTTTTCACTGTTCTTTCCTTGGCTGCATTATTCTCCCCATTGAGGCAACAGGTCATTTCTGCATACAGTGTGGCAGTCTTTCTGATTCTTGATGGCACTTGAATCAGAGCTTTTACTAGCTGTATGGAGTGTAGATTCGTGGAGCTGTGCTAGTTCTGCTCAGCACAACTCTCTGGCAGCTCGTTATGGAATAATTTACAATGGCACATTCCTGCCTCCTACGTTGGTATATATCTGCTGACTGGAATTAGTTAAAGCACACCTCCACTCACCTGTCTTTTGCCACCGGATACCAGAGAGAGGTTATTAAAAGGGGCATTCCAAGTATCAATACTTCTATAGCTTATTGTAATGATTATGACACAAGCCATCTATGGATGCAGTCTCTCTAGAAACATCCAACTTCCTTGTTTTCTGTCCGGTATATGTATGTATGTATGTATGTATGTATGTATGTGTGTGTGTGTGTGTGTGTGTGTGTGTATATATATATATATATATATATATCTCCAAATTGCTATCACGCCCTAAGCACCAAACGTGCTGCATCTATACAATCCCATACACCTTTTGTTTTTGTGCTGACTTTGACCTATCACTGAAAAGAGTTGTTCAGTGTGTATTGTATTTAGCAGGCATTACCATTCAGATTTTTTCTTCATTTCAGCAGATGGAGTGCTTGACCTGTCCACTAAGAAGAGCCCTTGCTCTGGAAGCACGTCCTTAAGCATTTCTCAAAGTACCTCAAACACTATAGGGAATGGGTAAGAAAAATATAAACCTGCTTCTTCTCCTTTTTTTTTTTTTTTTCCCTATCTGCAAATTCATTGGTTTCTAAAATGATTCTTTAATCTTTCCAGGGTAAATCTTTGTGCATAAGCAATCCATGATCCTCTCATTATTCAATAAAATTCAACTTTCAGTAAAGTGTTCATTAAAATCATTCTATATATAATTTTTTTCTTCTACATTCATTCTGCAAAATTTTAAATTTATCACACTATTCTGCTGAATCTTAGAAGAGATGTTGGTTGCTTAACTTTGGTACTGAAATGACTTGAGTATATCTGGCTTGGATGTAGAATTGTTATTGATCTTTACAGACTATATGACAATTCCAGATTAAATGTGTTAAATAACTTTAGCTGGTGTGGTTTTAGTACCCAAGAGTAAATTAAATTTTGTAATGGAATGTAATCCTAGTGCACTAAAAAATAAATAAAAAAAAACATTGATTTATACTAGTTTTGCACTTTAATTAGGTTATTTGATTTTTACTAATTGTGTATTTTGTAAATAACATCAAAAATAATATGAATACCAATAATGGAATAAATGTGCCTCATTTTACCTTTCAGTTATGAAATTCATGACAAGTTAACCTAATTAGATATCAAAATGTTTGTAAATGACAAAACAGTAGTTTTCTCTTAATTCAATTTGCAGTGCTGTTGTAATTGCAGCAGCAACCATTCAGTAAGAAATATGCTTTAAATGGCTTTATTCTGTAAAGTACTTTTACATTTATTGGCTTCACACCGTTATGGTACACGTATACAATTTTCTAAACTTTATGGTTGCCCTAATTGGAGTGGTGCAAACAAATTCAAAATCAAATCCTGATTGTGTTAAATGACTAGAATTTCTGTCTGGATTTCATACTTCCATTTTATACAAGCTTTGAGAGTTTCCACCTTTATCCTTATTCTTAGTAATTCTTGAGTCTTGGAATTTCACACTTTTAATGTGTAATGTAGGTTCAAATGAGGCACAAGGGGGATGGGTTTAATTAGGTCTTCAGAAAGTGATGGATGGGGTAATTGTATATTAAGAAAACAGTGATTTTTAAAACGGTACTGCATGCAAAATAAATTCAGTGCAAAAAGTAGGGTTTCTGTATGATTGTGCAAACACTTTCATTAGTCATTCTTCATATAAGAATATGATGTTCACACTTTGTTCTTGAGTTGTGATTTTAATATTCTGTTTGCTTGTTTCTATGTTGAATGTAGTGCTCCCTTCCTGGGTTTGGCTTATCTCTGTACAATTAATGTTTTAGTAGGTTCTTGGTGATGTTTCTAATTTGAAATGGGTTTGTTTTGCTGTATGATTATCTTGTATGAAGGAAACAATCATAACTTCATTGCAAGTGTCAAATCAGTTTAGTTACTTTTAAAGTGCTTTAATGTTTAGGAGTATTTTGATTTCTATTGTGGGTTTTGATAACCCTTGTAAAATTTAATTTTGAAACTACTATATATTACTTTAAAACATAGCTGATCATTATTCTGGGATAATCAAATTATCATGTGAATCATACTTTTTGCCATCCCTCAAATCCCACATTCAAAAGAGAAAAAATGGTCTGAAATCTTTAATATTTACAAACTATTCTAAAAAAAAAATTCTATTCTATGTAGTCATTTAAATTTTAATAACCTCTCTATAAGCCTCTGCTTGCCATTAAGAGATGTTGGAAAGTTTTTGTTAATTGCCATTTGGCTTAGACAATTGCAGGCCATTTTTTCTCTGCATTTTATCATTTCGATGATCAATGTCAATTTATATCTAGCTCTTTCTGTAAGCTGCAGTGTGATAAGCCACAAATCTTGCCAATTACAGGTGGTGTTTGTTTATTTTTCTATCCTCTCACTATTTAATAATGTTAATAAACACTATGTCTAGCTTGTTTTAATAGATTTCATCCTTTACCAAGTGGCTTACTCTTTTATTACTGTACTTGTTTAGTGGTAACGTCACATTAATCAATTGTGCCTACACCTAAAGGGATTGACTGCATTGTAATTCATAGCTAAGGTGCCATTTACAGACTGTTGCGCTAGACCTATTTCTACTACCAGAATTTGTGAACCCAACCAAAGACCAACTGACAGATTTTTACTTTTTGTTGTCCAAACGTTTCTTTTTTTGTGATTTTAATTTTTATTTATGTATTTATTTTAATTTTTTTTTATAAGTGACACTGATGCTGAGACAAAAAAAAAAATTTATAATACTAAAAAGTGATGTTACCCAAGCAAGGCCTTCTAATAAAGGAGTGGCCCCTTCACCCATACCTCCCTACCTGTGCAAGTTCTGCTCACATCAGTTTCCTTCCATCCAATTAGGCGACCTGGGAGACCCAGCCAGCACCGTCCAGATGGACTTCCGCGGAGTGGTGATGGGGTGCCTCCAAGAAGTTTGATGGATGGAACCAGGGAAACTTATGGCCACTCCGCAACTCTAAAAGTGCCATTGGCTCGCTCACTGCAGATTAGTGAGGAACTGCTTAGCAGGAAACCATTTTCTACAGCTGCCAGCCATGGTTCCACTGGACTGCAGAATCACGGACAGCACTTAATCCTTTCCAGAGAGGCTTCTTGGGCAAAGCCTCACTATGAATTAAATTTTGGCCGTATGAAATATAGGGGTAATGGTGCACTCAGCAACATCAGTGACCTGCCTTTTCTCTCAGAAAATGCAAATGCCTATCCAAAAAACACTCAGCATAAAAATGATGTTAAAAAGGAAATGGGCCTTTCTTCTCCAGTTGATTTAAAAATTCCACAGGTCCGTGGCATGGACCTCTCTTGGGAGTCCCGTAGTGGGGATCTGTACAATTACAACTCTTTGGTAATGGGTTCACAAACGGAGAGCGCACTTAGCAAAAAATTAAGGACTATCCTTCCAAAGCAAAATAGGAGAAATTTACTGGATACTACTGCGGATTCCTGGAGCTCAGATGTTGAGCAGTCTACCTCTGGACAGCCATATCCCAACTCTGATCAAGAAGGGGACCCAGGCTCTAAGCAACCAAGAAAAAAGCGAGGCAGATACAGACAATATAACAGTGAGATTTTGGAGGAAGCAATTTCTGTTGTCATGAATGGAAAAATGAGTGTTTCAAAAGCTCAGAGCATTTATGGGATTCCCCATAGCACATTGGAATACAAAGTCAAAGAGAGGCTAGGCACACTAAAAAACCCTCCAAAGAAAAAAATGAAATTGATGAGATTGGAGGATCAAGATATTGCAGTAAAAAGTGAACTGGAACCTCAGGAAGAGGTGGAGGCATCGCAAAGTGCAAATGAATCTAAAGATGAATAGGCATGCAGTAGAGTGCCAATGTTATAATATGAGGTGTATTTACCTGGGCGAGCACTTGTGTTAATACACAGTACACATAACACCTATTTATTTAAATGTGAAACTCATTTGAAGTCTTTTAATTGACTTGTAAGACAAAATATCAGACGGGTGTACAAGATGTGCTCCTAATTGTGTAACTTTGTACATTAGTCATGCCCAGTATAACACTAGAATATTTTGTTTGGCCTTTACGCATGCTTTTTCTTTTCTTTTCTTTTTTCTTCTAAACTTAGAAAATTGTTACCTCAGCAGGAGAACCTATACATGTAAATATGGACTCGTTGCTATTAGAGCCTGCATGTATTGTGTTCTTTGTATCTATTTTTAATCCTTGAACACAAGTCCACTTTATCGTCAATTTCAGGATTTACTTAACATACAACCAATGTTTAGAGAAATAATTTATACACCTTCATGAAACAATACAATTCATCTACAGTCTGATTTTAAGTATTTATACCAAAATGAATCTTTCTTTAAGAAAAAAAAAAACAAAATATGCCCCAAAAAATATTTTGGAGATTGCTAAATTTTTTGGAAACTGCAAGCTATAAAAAGGCTTTAGTTCAGGATAGGAATGTGCCAAGTGCACAAAATATGGGTGAAAGCCTTCAGGGCTTTATAACGACCACCTATGAGAGAGTATTATGCGAGAGCTTTACATTTCATATATCTAGAGGATTTTCTGAGTAAGACAATATTTGTCTTGTTCAGGGACAAAAATGTGGAAAGATTAGAAAGATTTGTGTAGGGGGAATAAGTACACATACCCGGAAAGCACTCCAGCAAAAACCATGCAAAATATTATGTACTAGGAAATACAACTAGACTCGTAAGTGGTTTAGATAGTGATTTGAAAAAATTAGAATTACTACTCACTGCTTCTTTTTTTTTTTTTTTTTTTATGTTTGTAGAAGATTTTGGCATACATGCCATTTTATGCACAGGGAGGACGGGTGTACACACTACCTTCAAACTTGTCAGTAATCGGTTTTAAACACTACCTGCTCATCAGCTCTGTGAATCGTTGGGGGTTTTATTTAGACAAAGTAGCCTTATCACAAAACTAGCACACAGTTTGTGGTTTCTTTTTTGTTGTTTTTTTTCCCCTCCTCTATGCTATAGCAGATACTTAATTTCCGTAAATATATGTGTGAATGGCCAGGGTTTGGGGATGTATACCCACACACAAACACTGTGTGTATGTATATAGACAGAGGCTGGACATTTCTTCTCACACTCTTTTTGCGACATGTAAGAACATCTAATAGAAGTGAGCCACCATCATTTTTTTTCCCATATGAATAAGTGTGATGGGCTAATATTTTTTTAAATATTATTTTTTTTTTTTGGTAACTTTGTGATACATTTTTTCCAGTCCTGTGTGTTTTGTGTTTATCCTTATCCTCTCCTTTTAAGTGTGCTATCTAACTTGTGTAATTTCAGATAAAGGGAGGTATAAACTGTGACTTTTTTTTTTTCTTGTGCATATTTTTCTATAACAGTATGACCTCATTGTGCTTCATAGTTTCAAGAATGAAGGTTTCTTATTTTTAGCAAATATGTTTTCAATTGATTTTTACATACATTTGAAACTACATAGGTCTAATGCATGTATGGTTTAAGATGTAGCAAGATATGCTACAGATGCTTAGATTATGCCACGTGCTCTATCTTCAGGTAATTTACGTTCTTTTAGAAGCACTCCATGAACCAAGCAGTTTTATAGATTTTATGTCCTTTGAGATATCTTCAGTGTATGAAGATATTTCTGTCTTACAGCAAAAAGTCCTCAAAACCAACATTCAATTTTGCAAGGCTTCTTGCAAATTAGTCAGGGGTGAATAATAGAGTAGATTTGCTCTCTTAAATGACGCTCCCACCGGAAATACTTTCCTGTCCCAGTTTCCAGGGAAACTCCTACTATGAGGGGAGAAAGGTAATCTTACCAGTTACTGGAGCTGGATTAGGGAAAAAAATAGCTTTCGCGTCCATTAGGTGTCAAGGAATATTAGCAGGTTTTGGTGTAAAGTGAGCTGCACTTCATTTCACTCCTTGACACCCAAACTGGTAATTACAGTTTCAACTCTGCAATGAGCTATCATACTCCAAGTGTCCAGGTCAAAAATGGCAAGTTGCCAGGTATGGATGTACTTTATAGGCAATTTTCTATGTAAATTGTTTTGGGTTATATTTTATCAAAGGCAGCCTGTGTTGCTACTGTAGCTCTGCACTGTTTGGGTTAAACCTATTTTGGCTGTATGTTTTTCTCATTCCTTAATTGGAAACATTAAAGGGTGGGTGCACCTTAGGTCTTAAATTAATGTATGTAACACAACATCTGAATTTAATATTGGGCAAAAATATTAGAAAACACTTACTGACATGTTCTTTTAATCTTGTTACCTGTTTATGTATGGGGAGGGGGGTTGCTAAGCGTACTAATGCATTCTTAAATGGGATTGCAATTAACTATATTTGAATTTAAAATTCTTGACTATTGGTATGCATTGTGTATACATGAAATATCTCCATGTTTCTAATTTATTAATTTTTTTTTTTCTCCTCCCTACTTTTCATCTGAATTGTTACCAAAAGATTACAACAGAGTGGGTTGTTATGGTGTGCTTACCCTTTAATGTTGCTGTTATATATGTGTAATATATAGAGATTTTAGACAGGGAGTTGTAAATAGTAATATACTTTTTTCATAATTTAGAATACTTAAATAGCCCTAAGACCTGAAGATTGTATTATTTCATCTAAAATTGTAAACATTCCACTAGAGATCTGTGACTTAACTTTCAGGTATCCACTCTTTACAGAAATGGGTTTGAGCAATGAACGAGCATGATCATTTCCTCCAAACTTCACTTGTTTTGTATAGTAAAATGTGGGGGTTACATTTAAAGCACTAATTGCATTGATAATTGCAATAGAAACTAGCCATTTGCAGTTTTGTTTTTTTTTTAACTTATTTTTTTGTGTATGAGACATGGGTTTAGATTAGTGGTCCCTTAAATATTTCAGGGAAGGGCGCTGTTGAATAATTTAAAGAGATTTATATTTAGGATTTTTTTTTATTTTTTTTTTAAGTTTCAGACTAAAACTCAAGTGCACCTTTTTAATACTAACATATATTGGTAATTCCCACAAATGGTCTCCCCTCCCCTTCATTGACAAATGCCCCAAAACATTTATATATATATATATATATATATATATATATATATATTGTTCCTCCTTCCAAGCTCACCCTATACTTGTTACTGTGCTGGGTAGTCCTGGCTTTGTATTCTTGTGAAGCTTATGAAGACTCACAACTATCCCTCTCTTAGGTATCATTGGATTATGGCATCAGAATTATAGCAGTATTTGACTGTAAATGATATGCCCAAAGTGAGTAATAATACTGGGATAAGGAATTTGCCAATAAAATTGCCCTACTAACAGTCAGAATAAAGTTTAGTTTTATTAACATGTAAATAGGAGTGTTAACTGAAATATGCAATGCTTTGGCAACAATTGAATGGTTTAAGATGTATCAAACCGTTGCACAGCCCTTCATTTTCTACCTGAAAGGACATTTCCTATATTGCCATGATGGTAAAACTGGTGTGGATAAAACCTGTTTCTATTGAAAATCAAAATGTAATTTGCTACCAAAAAGGTTTTTTTTTGTTTGGTTTTTTTTCATTATTATTTCAACAAAATCTACCTTTTTCTGTGTAATTTTAACGTAATTTAAACATTAACCTCAATGCTTGTTGTAGGCAAGGAAAATCTACAAATTAGAAATTCCATCTGATGCAGAGCGGTCTCTTCAAAGGATTTATTAACTCTTATGCTGCATTTTATTTAGCGAACTTGTTAATCTGTAGATCAGGTTTTAGTTATATTTTGTTTTGTTCTCCTAACAATCATATGTTTTTGCAGTGAATAAGACTTGAAAGTACCTCTTTCAAAATGTCCTGCAACAAGAAGTCATGGGAGGTTTTTCTTTAGCAGGACTGCTCAGTCAAATTTTGTATATATTTTGTCCTCTACTATGTCACTTTTGTTGGATTTTTTTCTGTTTAGATCAGTAAAGTTGAATTATTTTTATGTACAGGAAAAAAAATCCATACCTCAAAGCTGACTTTATTTTTAAACTGGTAGGTTAGGTTTAGTTTGAGAGAACAAGTAATGGAATAAAAAAAGCAAAAAAATATATAAAAAAAATAAGGGAGAGCAGTGCAATTTCAATAAAGCCGTTTTTATGACAGAGCCATATACAGGCAGGGGGAATGTATTGCTGTGTCACTGAATTGTCTAGTGTTTAAATATTGGCGCATCAGCTCATCCTCTTGGTTATGAATTATTGATTTTGTTTGTTATATACATACTGGTTGGAATTCAAAATGCGTATCAAACAATTGGCAAAGATTGCTACATGTGCTGTCAAATGATGTTTGACAACTATTATAGCTTAAGTCTTTGTGTAATTAATTTCAGTGACCCATTATATATATAGTCTCTCAACCCCCCAAATCTCCAGTATGACTTAAAGCAAATTTAATTACAGAAGGCAGGGATATTTGAATATACATGCCCTATTGTCCAAAATAGTTCATAGCTGTTCTTCTCCGTATTCTCTCACTCTCCCCCATTTGCCTTTGTATTCTAAATACACAATGGTATATTACATTTTGTTCATTTTTTTATTTTTATATATCGCCATACTAGATTTGTACATTTTGCAGCCTTTCCTAGCATATCTTTGTAAAGGCTTTCCAAGAACACACTTTTAGAAAGCACTTGACAGCCTGAACCTATAGGATAGCATGATGTATAAGCACTTCTGTAATTGCATTAACCCTTTTCATTAAATAGGCACAGTGAACCACACTTTAAAAAAGTACTTACAAATTGAAATAGATTTTTAATTTTGACTTTGAATTCTCTTCCTATTTAAATGAAATTGCTGAAATTCGTTTTCTCTCCTGGTAGTTAAGTATTTGCAGTATTCATGCTCAATTGAAGCGTTCTCCTGCAGTAAATAATCCTGGGGTTTAAGAACCCCTATTTTATACATGAGAGAAATAAATTCCATTTTGCCAATGTTTTGGCTCTATTTTTTTATTTTATTCACAAAGCAAAATGAGGAATACTGTATCTAAAACCAGCATACAATATATGAGATTGCTGTAGTATTTCTAGCCCACGAATACATTCAATTCTACTTTTACAAATTTTTCAGGATAATTTATTTATATAACAGGCAGTTTGCCCTCTTATGTCATTTTTAAAAGATGTTATTTCCAACGCCCATTTACTGCAATGTAATGGGTCGTACGTGTACAGCGGCTTTCTGCTGCTAAGAGATAAATGATTGTTTTTAAATATATCTTTATGTTCTAACATAACTTGTAACCTCTGCTTCTGGGTTTTCTGGGATTGCTTTTACTGTTCAGTCTGCATTATTAGACTTAGAACTTCAACATACGTTCACACTGCGTTAAACCCTCAGGGACAGTCTTCACACTACTCTCACTCAATTCAGGTACTTGTACTCTATTCTTAAACTTAGCAGTGACTTGTGTTTTTGTTTTGATTTCTTTTGTGTGTTTTTTTTTCTTTCCTTTTTAATGTGCTTGTAGCACATCCTTGATGAATGTCAAGTTTAAAACTCACTTCAGGTATCCAGGTATAACTCAGCCAAACGGATTTAAAAGCTGCATATTAACTCTTCAGCACACAGTGCCTCAGACACTTATAGTGGCATTCTGTATACTCAGTTGTTACTACTGAACCGATAGCAGGGGGTTCCTGTTTTCAAATTATATGTTAACAAATACACAGCCTACGCTTTCAATTTAAATGTTTCTTAGGAGTACAACTTGCTAACTGTTCACACTTCAAATCTTGCTTGATTGGATTTATAAGTAAAATGTTTTGGCCAAAGCTAAAAACAAAATGTTCGAATTGTAGAAGACTAAGGCCTAAGGGTTAGTAATTGCTTAAAATAAATGGTGTTTATTTTAAACTGTACAAAGAAAATGTTCATGCATTTAATACCATACATATATTGTACTGTGTAAAAGTTTATACCGTATGAAATTCTAAATTCACACTAAAGCCATTTGGCCAGTAAGAGAGGGGAAATGACTACTTCTGTCATTAGTTTATTCTCCCATTAGTAACATGATCTGCAACATATAGAAGACATTATCTTGCTCTCTCCTTCCCTTTGTCTGGCATATCAGTTGAGGGAGAAGGGCATATAGTTCTATGCATGAAATTCAGTTTCACAATAAATTGTTGCTAGACTGTCAGGGTTATTCGCTACACTGAATTTGTGGAGAACTGCAATTTTTAGGGCATTTCTCTTTTGCCCAGATTAAAAATAAAACCTAAATTTGTTCTGGATTTTGACTTCTGCCATTTCTAGATAAAGCGGTCAAAGGGCAAAACAAAACAGAAGTTACTCTGCAAATTTGTTTTACTTGTTGGAATACAAATGTTATCATGCTCAGTGAGATTCTGGCTTAGGACAGGCTATAGATACCAGAACAACTACATTAAGCAGTAGTTCTGGTGACTATCATGGTCCTTTTAAAATATACATCTGAATATAACTTCATCCTCATCCATTAGTTTCCTTTCTATTGGACACATAATACTTAAAAACAACACTAAAATATGAATTTGTTTTATTTTTCTTGAATTCCCCTGTAATCTCACGTTGTTTAACCAAGTGGTTGCAGTGCAGAATCTTATGGTAGTGTGCCCCCTCTCCCCTCCTTAAACTGTTCTTAGTTTTTACCTTTTTAACCGAAACATGGTCTCTCCCAGTGTTTAAAGATGACTGGGTCTGCTACAGTTCAGCAAAAAAAAACCTGAAGTGATTCTCAGTCTATTTAAATAGGCACTGTTTTAGAGAAGAAATTATTTGAGTGACTGCATAGATTAACATCTGTAATTAAAGCTTGTATGCGGACTAGCTGCTCTCTAAACTCAATGCAAGAAGAATTCAGCACATAGTTACTGGCCTAAAAATGCAAGATCCCCTTTTTTGTGCTTGTATATGAACTACATTTATTTTGAAGCAATACTGTCCCTTTAAGGTTAATTGATATATACATTTTTAGATTATTAATTTTATGTTAAATTAATCCATTCAAATAATATGTAAAGGGTTGTTTTTTGTGTATATTTAAAAGTATACACGCAATACTTTCATTGATTTCATAGAGTTACAGGAAAATAAATTATAATGTGGTGGCAACTCTCGTTCTATATTTGTACTCCTTTTATGTTTAAGTACCTCAGTAGCATATGTCCTATTAACTTAAATATTTGGGGGGGAAATACAGGAACCCCCTAACCTCTTGTTGACCTCATTTCAATATACTGTTTACAGTTTGACAGAATTGTATAATTTAATATTTCTCTTGTACTGTAGTTTTTTTTTATTTATTTACAGATTTTTTTTGTACTGTGTGATTTGAACTTTTTTGTTCTTGCTATGATCAATGTCTTATGTAGTAGAGCACTTATGATCACAATTATTATTTTTATTTTTTTTGATTGCACTACATAATTTTTTTTTAATGCAGTTCTGATTTTGACTGGACTAAATAAGATGTCTTAATGTATGTGATAAGTACTTTAAATTTTGAAAATCCATGTGGTTCATTTTATTAAATTCTTTTGGCATTGTATGTTGAAAGCGCTGATTCTCTTGTCGTGCATGTGTAAAAATTAATGGTTCCATTGTATAATTTGACCATGTCATTGGAAAGCCAACAAGATACATTCCCAGCTGTAACGTTGTGTATGGTAGTTCTCACTGGATGCTAGACTTTTCAAAACCACTATTCTTCTAATAAATTTGATGTGAAAATGTTTTGCAAAGTTTCTTCCTTTAATATTCGCATGCACCGAATTACAACAATTTCAATTCATAAATTTGACAATTGGCATCTCCCATCACAGTCATGTGAAAGTTGCTTTGTAGGTTATCAACATTTTCTATTCCACTTTAGTTATCGCCTCATGTGCAGTTGGGACCTTCAATGCCAAATTGTGAGTATTTAGCAGTGGGCTCTTTGCAATATGACTCGTTTGCCAAAAAAGGTGAAAATGCTTGATGAAGGATAGTGGTATTTAGGGGTTAGTCTGCAATGTCTCTTTAGACTTACAGGGTTCAGTGATGTATGATGTTAATAGATGTTTTTCAAATATATTATTTTTCAAGTATACTTTTAGAAGGAAACCCTATTGGATATCTAGCTGGTTTGAAAAAAAAAAAATTGATCACTTTTAATGGCCTATAGTCAACGTGTCCAACATAACTTCAGTGTAACTCGCTTTCAATATTTAAAACTAGACTGCCTATAAAGTGCCACACTTTGAGAGATTGTCATGAAGAAGTAATGCAAATAATTGGTAAGCAGTGATATGAGTATTATCTTGAGTAGATCAAGTTGGATACAGCAAAACTGAAATAAACTGATTAATTTTACATATAGCATGTCACACAAAACTTTTTTTATCTGGGGAAAAAAACAAACAAACAAACAAATGTGTGTGTACAGAAAAAGATAAGGAAAGTATAATCGAACCAATGCATGGCAAAATGTTTTCAGGATTAGTTAGAAGTGAAATTGGTGATTTTAAGTATTCTCTATTGGCATGGAGGTAAGTAAATAAAAACACATCCTTTGCAATTCTGTGTTCAGGACAGCTTTGCTTCCTGCATTATCTTGGGCTCACATATGCACAATTAAATTATGTAGTAATTTAGTATAATTGCAATACAGGTGCATACCACTTTAGGCTTACCTTTATTAGTGCTGTACGTGTGCATGGAACAGCAGGTGTTAACTCACATGCCATGGCCAGACATAGGAGTAGGGGATGTACATTTAAAATAAATATAAAAATCACAACCAATAACAAACTTTTCAAGTTGGCTTTTGCTTGTTCATAAATCTCAATACAATATTAACTTAAATAAATCCTCAGGGCCAAGTGTGACACAAGTTGTAGCAAAAAGTTTTTGTTTTTTAAACTAAGGTTAACTTTACAAATGTAGAATATGCAGGAATATTGTATAAATATCCCTGTTTTTTGTTTTTGTTTTTTTTTTATCAAAATGTGATTGTATGTATATGCTTGAATATTTGTATGCTTACTATTTGTGTGTGTGTGTTTACGTAGCAATTTGTGTACCTTCTAGTTCTTTCCTCAAGTAGACCTCTCTTTAATAAGTTTAAGTTTTAGGGACATTGAAGGTCACATGTTTGTTTACAGATGACCCTAATTTCAGTAAATTAATCTAGTCTGAGCAGTGCTAAAACAGAAGAATATTTATAAGAGGACAGGAAAGTTTTAAGCAGATTCCCCTGTTTGAATGCTGATTCCATATTGCCCATATATTTTGTTTTGTGAGCTTTCGGTTCAGAACTACTTGGGAATGGTGATTTTCTTTTTGTTCTGAAATCTTTTGGATGTCATTTTTAGAATGAAGAGTGCCTTTAGGAATCAATTCACTTGTCAAGCAGCCTCAATTAGCTAGCTAAAAAGTTATGTGTAGGTCTTATTGTGAATGAAACTACCCGAGACAGATGGCTACGTACCTGTTATCTGTTCTGATATTTAAGTGATGTGCCCTGTACCAGCTACCCATTGGGTGCACCAGGATTAAGGCTCTGCTACTTCCTTAGATTTGTAAATGTTGGATATTCAGAGGCCTGTATCCTTTTTGGCTAGTTCTATGGAAAATCTATACATATATAATGGTCTCTTTAGTTAGCTGACAACCATTTCTGTTCTGTGTTTAGTGCCTCTACCCCTATCTGGTGATTGGAACTCCTAAAACACCTCCAAATCATGCTGAAGGGGCCTGTGATTTGAGAACGGTGGACTGAGTTACCTTTAGTCTTTCAGAAACCTTCCAGAGTAAGGCAGTGCTCTAGTAACCTCTGTGTTGCAATCTTTTGTTTTGGCTTTCTGTGTTGATGAAACTGCCTTACTTCGGCACATTCACATAGGCAGTGAACATTATCTTGCAAACATCAATTACAAGGAAGTCATGTCGTCCAGTTCTCCCCATCAACAGACAAATGGCGTACATCAATATAAAAAAAAGCAAGAACATCAATCCTCTCGTTCACCTTCTCTATGAACAGGTTCCCTATGCCCTAAATTATATACACCGGTCACTGGGGCTGGCGGGAGTCATGACCCACGATGATGAGAGATTTTATATTGGTTAATTAACTTTGGTAATCTATTGGATAACCAGACATAAATGGAGGTACATCCACCTTGAGACATTACTGAGTAATGTAGGAAGGTATTTGGTAAGTACTCTACTTACGTGCAAATAAAACAACCTTTTAAGAGTTTTCTTTTGTGTGAATACAGAGCATTACTTCTTTAACCTCCCAACAGATGTTAGGTGTATAGTAATATTTATGTTGTACAATAATTAATTGCTCTTCTAATTTTTTATTTTTTATATTTTTTTTTTCTTTCTATTTTTTTCTAGAATGGAACATACTGGTAGAATCGCCATAGATGGCAAGAATTGTACAGCTGTAACACTGGAAAAGTTCATGGACAAGTTGTGTGCACATCACCAGACACAGTTTACACATGTGTTAAACAGTTTATGCACTGAAAAGCAGTTGTCTTCACCTGAAGCAAGTACTTCAAGTTCTGATGGCAAAAGCAATGGGTGCACCTGTTTTGTAAGCAAATCTAATGGTTTATCAGTATTTGGGTTACATATATCAGATTCTCAAGCGATTCCAGCTCCAACTCAGCAACCAGTTATTGCAATGACTGATCCCAATTGTATGGATAAAGTACTACACACCCATAGTCCTTGTGAACAGTATTCTCCTGATTTGTTGAAGCAGTCCTCCATGTCAGATATGTCGGTTAGCAGTTGCATTACCCCTGCAAACTGTGCATCTGTACACAGAAATGTGTATTTTAAAGAACAGGAAAAAACTGCTCTATCTCTGGAGGGGGATGTAGTTATGAGCCCTAAAAAACCTATTATTGTAAATAAAAATGAAAATGTTCATGATTCGGCATACACTTCAGACATGCCTAGAGCTGCCGAACAAGCAAATGATCCATATGAATATGACGTTATAGAATATAGTGAAAGCTCTTTATGCAATATATTTCTAAGCAAAGCAATAGATCAAGTGAAGGATTTTCAGGATCATAACACAAATTCAGTCCCCGCTGAGCAAAAGCCAGTATTAAATGAATCTATGCAAACTTTAAAATCAACTCCAGCTTTTGTAGGTGGTTGTCATAAAGCATGTGATGTAGTTAACATTGATCAACCAAAGTCAGACTCCAACTCTGAAAATCAAAAGGATTTAGTGTGTTCTCAAAAACCAGCAATGGAAAGTGCTAGAGGATGCCTTGTTATTGAGGAATTCTGTGAGTTTTCAACTATTGGTACATTGGGTAAAAATTCTAATGGTAATGAACTGGCTAATTGTGCCATTGAAACTTCTGAAGCATTCTCAAGTCCTAAATGTGAAATTGTTTCAGAGACTTCGTCAGTGGATGTTGCGTCATTTGTTCCAAAAGAGACGCATGTAGAAATAAATCAATTTACGACTTCACAGCTGACCATTACTGATAACCCTGACTACCCATCACCCACTACTCAGAAGGCATGTGCCTCTGAAACTTTGCTTGCCCTGGTGTCTCCGATCCAAGAAAAAAAAGAAACATCTGCACACTGTGTTTTATCTGATGCTGAAAACACTGCAAATAGACCTGAAGGCATTCTTAAACCGACAAATAAAATGGGTCCTGTGATAGACTGCGTGAGTTCTTTATGTGTAAAAGGTAACTCACTCTTTGATACAGATTTTAAAAGTTCTCTTGTAAGCCATGCAGAAGGACCCGTATCTCCATCAGTGGATGTAGACATCGAGCTTTGTGTTGAAAAGAAAACCATGTTAACCAAATATGTTAAAGCAACTGATGAACAATGCCCTTTAAATATAGTTTCAAAAAAGCATTTATCTCTAGAAGACTCTTCTGAGGTTTCCTCTCCTGCATCTACGTTATTTTATCTCTCAAATGAAACTGATTTTACAGAAGGAGGCCATTGTCCTGCTTGTCAATCTCATTTACGTGAATCAGAGATTATGGCTCATAATGAGACTTGTTTTGTCCTAAAGAACTTGAAAACTGAAGATGTTAAATCATCATCTTCAAGTAGCATATGTGTAGATTACTGGTCAGATAAAAGCCCAACAGAACTACCAAATCTTAAATTCACTCGAGCATTAAATAGTTTTGTAAAACACTCTGTTAATTTGGACCTGGACATATCTGTAGAATCTGTGGTTAAAGAGAGCAGACAAACCATCGGTGCAGATTCTTTCCTCGTGGAGCCATCCGTCAAGAAGTTTCCTTCATGCTCTTCAGATAAATTTGGTAATTCCAATAGTTTAACACCTCAAAATGAAATTTTAAAATGTTCAAGACAATTTGATCTTTGTGATAACAATGGTGTCACAACTACAGTTAAGGACGAATATTTTAATGATCTACAAACTGATCATGATCAGATTACCGTGGAAATAGAAGAGAAAGCTTCTTTAGATGTGCAGAAATGGCATCATGCTTCACTGTTAGATCTGGACAATGAAGTAGTAGAAAAGTCATTAGTAGCAAGTGACATAAGTGAAGAGAAAATATCCTTGACTAGTGAATTGGTTAATTCAGATTGTTCAGGGCATGAAAAAAATGTAGGTATAGACTCCAAGCAAAAATCGAAAAGAAAATCAACTCTGGCACCATCTGACAGACAACTTAGAAGTCAGCTTTTCCAAAAGTCTCCAACTCTCATTCCTCAAATGCATGCAATAAACAACAAAAGCACTAAAGAAGTAAAAACATTTGTTTACACTAAAAATACAAACATTTTAACAACTGACAGCGTTAACCAGGATGATTTAAATGTTTGTAAGACACTTGACAAGAAAAACTCAAATTTTGAACAAAACAATCTCATCCAACATTCAAACGGCATAAAAACTAAAAGTAAGCAAATAATTTCAGAAAGTCAGTTTATGAAGAAAGAAATGTCGAAAGCACCTCTTAAAACAAGTTGCCAAAAAAGTAATTCATATTTAGGTTTAAGAACTAAAACTGCCATATCTAATGTCCAACGTAAAGAGAGCGCGAACAATGACAATATTTTGGAAAAAACTTCTACTTCTGATTGGAAGGATTTAAATAAGCACGTTTCAAGAAAAACCTCAATGACTTCAAAACGTATACAGTCAAAATCAGTGACTAAACATAAACAATTGGCTTTGCAAAATTTCAATTCAGGGCACATAACTAAATATAACAACCCTAAACAAACAATTAAAGTGGAGGATATTATTGGAAGGAATGCAGTGGAATCAGAAGAGCATTTAATTGATTCAGAGTTAAATAGCCCAGTATTAGGAATAGAAAGACCAAAATTTGTTGATTGGTGTTCCGAGGAGGACAATCAAGAGCGGATTTCCAATTTTAGTAACATGTACATGTCCGTCCACAAAACTTGGATTCCACTTGAAAAAGAGGCACCAGTCGTGCACAAATCTAAGAACAAATCTGACAAACTGAAAGAGATTTGGAAAACCAAAAAAAGGACTCGTAAAAACAAAAATGTGCATGAGACTCCAAAATACTCGTCTGTACAAACATTATTTATGAATTCTTTTAAATTATCAGATGTTTGCCGATGGTTTGTAGAAACAACAGAGACCAAATCTTTAGTGATTGTAAAGAAAATAAATACTCGCCTACCTGAAGATCCCTTACCGATTATGCCTTTGCATAAGTATCCGGCATCCAGCTTATACCCTCATGTGCCACAAGCTCAACGTCTGAAAAAATACCTTAAAAAATTTGCTTCTGTTATTCCAGCTCGAAATAACCGCATAACACAAATGGCCCTTGCTAACTTGAAAGAGAACCAAGAAGTGCATCTTTGGGACAATCTAAATGATAAAAATATTGTTCAGGGAACTAATGCAAGCAGAGTTGGAAAGTCCAAATCCAATGTCAATAAACCTATGACAGACCAGAAGTCCCAATTTAAATCTGGTTTGGTGAAGTCTGAAAAAAAAGAACATGCTCTCAACATGGTGCAATCAAAGATTACCTGCAGTAATCAAAGTATTACTGAATCCTCTAAATTAGCTTTCAAGGTAACCACAGATTCATCCTCTTCTGAATCTGCAGCCCCTGAGAAAACCAGTAAAAAACGTCCCACAGACCTTACTGGGAAATCGGGCACACAAGTAAAGAAAAAGAAAATAATGGAGACATCCACATATAAAAAAAAAACATTTGACAGTAAAACCAATCTTCCAACAAAGAACATAAACAAAGTTAATAAAAAAGACTCAAAATCTCTACACCTAAAGAAGCATCTGACAAAAAGGGAAACATTTAATGCTTCCAAAGACGTAGCTTTGGAAAATCTGCGTACCAGAAGACAAAATTGTCATACTAAAACTCAAGCAGTTAATAAACATAAAATGAAAACTCGACAAAGTAAATCAGAAAACCAAAAACAGTTGTCTCCAAAATTGGCTAAACCCAAGATTAAGAAAGCATTAAGATCACAGAGAATTGAACCTTGTAAAAATACAATACATGTACTTAACAGAGGCAAGAAGGGTGTTAAATACCAACAGAAAAAGAGAAAACAAAGATCATAAACTCGACTACATACATTAGGAGATGATCACTTGAAGTTAAATAAGTAATGAACATTCATTATATATGTGCTGTTGTACAGGCATCCTTTGCATTACTTGGCTGTTTCATAAGCTGTAGCACGCCTTTGGAAAACCTGCGGTTAAATTTAAGATGGAGACTTTTTAAAGCTAGGTTATGGCGTGAGGTTGATTTAAAAGAAGAAAAAAATGGTGCAGATAAGTTATTGATTTACAGTTTTAAGTGATGAATGTCATTAAAAGTACAGTGCCTTATTTTATTTTTTATTTTTTGTTTGTATACGATTTGTTGGAGCTGAGCTGCGTGATGAGCATTGCATTGAATACTTGACGCACATGCACTTGGACTGCAGCAGAAATCAGGCACGCACGTTTACTGCAGTCTTCCTCTGGTTATTTATACTCCGAGTAGCACATATTTCTTACATTTTGGCTTCAATCATTTTTCCAAAATTCAGCCTTTTACCATAAAATTATTTCCCTTGCGCTTGGAAAATCAATACTAGGGCTTCCTTGCTATTGCTTAAACTGCTTTACATAATTTTGTCAGTTGTTCAGGATTTTTTTTTTCTTTTTCCCCTTCTATTGTTTCCCAATCTGTCTTGTCAGGTCATTCAACTGTGACCTACATGCATATAGGTCACACATATCATATTTATATAAACCTCACATTTGCACTCGGCCTTCATTTAATTTGCACAAAGAATCTGGTAACTAAAACACTGTGTCAGCATTACATATAAGAGACTTAATCCTCAATGAAAAATTTTAAAAGCACATGTTTTAGTCTCCAGTGTTACATCAGGAAAAAGGGGGATTTTAATATACATTTTTTGTTAGTGTTTGTAAGCATTTATGTAATTGCTGTAAAAGTATGTTTTCGAAACCAGGATCCATTGCATTAGAAATTCTAAATGTTGTCATGCTTTTAAATTATTAGGCATTTGTCTTCAACATGTATCTACTTAGATATTTACAGACTTAAAGGTTACTGCCACAAAAAGGTTTTTGTTTATGCATTAAATGCTGGATTTCGAAATAATTCCAAGTGGTTCAAGAAGAGCAGGTTATTTGTAATATAAACTTGATTTTACTTCCCTGGCCTGTGTACGGAATGTATCTTCAAAGAGATGTTGCTGATTAAAGAGACATGCAAGGCTAGACTTGACTCCCTTCTAATATACATAATTACGATGTAAACAAAAAAATCCCTTTAAAGTTACTACATATGCTGAAAAAATGCCAGAATCTTGCCCAGTATAGCTTCATTTAAAAAAAAAAAAAAAAATGTTTTTTGAATGAGTGAGCTTGTGCAATTACTAAGGTATGTACAGTTTTACACAATGACTTCATAGAACACAGCTTTACTATTATATAAAACAGGGAAAAGCGGCTAACATACATGAAAACCTGTCAATGCACTAATTGTTGATGTCTGGCATGTCGCTTCAAATCAGTTTATTTTAGTTTACAGCATAATTGCCAGAATACAATTTGGTAAGACTGGGTTAGAGTGGTAATATCCCTTTAAGGTTTGGAGTTGAGAGCGAATGTGTTATGCATTCTGCAATAATGTGATTCTTGCTGGACTTCTTTGCACTGAATGGGTTTAATAAACTCTGGTTTTGTGAAAGAAAATATACTCTTTGTATGTTAAGTACTGTATTATTTTAACTTCCTAAATATGTTAAGGTGCAAATAAAAAGTTACATTCCAACTTAGAAATAATTTAATTACAGGGCATTGTAATTTTAAGCATAAAGAAATGTAATAAAGTCAAATTCTGTCGTAGATCACAAACATCCTGTTAAAATCCCTAATTCTTAACATCTCAGGATTCCTCGTTCTAGAACAGTTTATTGTATGGATGATGCAAATATTGTGTACAGTCTAAAGAAGTTCATGCTTCACTGTCTGTTGGTTTACAGATGTTCCCAATCCTTTTCTATTTTACAAACACGATGTAGTCTTTCACAAGATAAACTGAACTAATTTTATTAAAAGGAATCAATCATGAAAAAAAAAAAAAAAAGGTTCAGTTTGTGTATACCAGTATAATGGTATACACGTGAGAGAGGCTTTTTAATATGTAAGTAAACTAGAAAAAAAAAATGGTATACACGTGAGAGAGGCTTTTAAATATGTAAGTAAACTAGAAATACCGTCTTTGGGGACTCACTTTAGTCTTTGGGTAACACAAAGTCTGCATACAATAGAGCTAACTTACTGTTAAAGCCAGTTACTTTGTGTGAGTGTTGTGGGTTTTTTGTGTTTTTGTTTTATTTATTTATTTTTTATGTTTTAAGAAGATCAAATCAAAATAGTCCAGGCAGCCTGCAGATTGTGTTTCCCCATAAATTAAGTTTATTAAATCTTTCATTGTAAACGTTACAAAAGTTGAGATTTAATCACATTCTTAACTTGAATTTTGTAGGGGAAAAAAACCCTTTAGACAAGCTGATACAATTTTCTGTACCAATACAAACAATATTATTCTAAACATTTTGGGATGCTATAATTATACAGATTACATGAATGTTTGGATTCTTTTTAATGAAAAACAGATGATTTACAATGAGGTTTTTAATAAGATTTTTACATTTAGGGTGGAGGTTTTTAACAAAAGATTTAGAAATTTAGGATGTTTTCACATCTCCAAGGAACTTTAGAGATCTATACTGTATAGATCTCTAAAGTTCCTTGGAGACCCCTCCTACACAGCCCATCCACTGGACCACCAGGTAATGAGAGCCCCCTTCCCTGGCCATGTATCAAGCAGGGAGGGGGGATGGAAAAAAAAAACATAAAAATTTAAATAATATATAAAAAAAAATATTAAAATAATATTAAAAAATAATAAAAATGCCCACCCCCCACCAAGGCTCTGCATCACATACACTGCACACACACACACACGCTGCACTCATACACACACACACACACACTGTAAATAAATATTCAATTAATATAATTTTTGGGGGATCTAATTTTATTTGGAAATTTACCAGGAGCTGCTGCATTTCCCACCCTAGTCTTATACGTTAGTCAAGTTTTTGTAGGCATGCATCCTGCTTGCACTTTTAAGTTATTGGCCAGAGTATGATAAAACAAGATGGCAAATTCCAGTAACCTTAATTGCAATGGTTTAATATCAGAATATGAATAGTGTGTGGATAAAAAATTTTTTTTTAAAAATTCAGGATATCCTAAATATTTGATAAATTCTTAATTTTTTTCTCTTCAAAACTTATGTCAGGATGAAGGAAAATTAAAACAATCTAAAATGTTATAAATATATTATAGGAAAGACCTGTATTCCAGCAATATATTTTTAGTTTTCAGCATTAAAATCTGCGTATCTGTCAGTGTTAACAGGAGAATAAATGTGTAGTTGCAACACTTGGCTAGCATGTTGCCAAACAATGTAAATTACAACTGGAGTAAGGTTCAACAAATGTTGATTATTTACTGAACTAAAAGTAATCAGGAATCCGAGGATAATTGCAAATTCTATTTAAAGTAGCTAGTTGAGAGTACTCAACAAATCAGCTTTTTTAAAGGGACACTATAGACACCAAAACAACTTCAGCTTGATGAAGTAGTTTTGATGTATAGAGTATGCCCCTCAGTACCCCGTTCTCTGCCATTTCGGAGTTTCGTCACTTTATTTAAACAGCTCTAGTCACACCTCCTTGTATGTAATGTGCACAGCCTTCCTAGACACTTTCTATAAAAAAAACAAGATATTTTAGTTCCCTGTACTGCACATTCAGTTTAATTTAGAATTCAGTTTAATTTAGAATTTCGTATTTCCTGCTCTGTTAGACCCAGCAGGAGCTTTAATGCAGTCTGTGTGAGTCACAGCAAGGAGAGGTGTGGCTAGGGCTGCATTAACAAAGACAGAAGTGATTTAACTTCTAAATAAGAATTGATCAGTGAGTCTGCCTGGCATGATCTTTACATCAAAACTGCTTCATTAAGCTAAAGTTGTTTTGATGCCTATAGTGTCCCTTAAAGTTTGGTTTCTTTTTCCTGAAGCGTAAAATCTTCTTGTCAGTTTCTAATTAATAATCACTCTTCATCACTCTTTTCCAAGGCACGTTTCAGTACAGTTTACATGTTCCCTGTCTATTCTCACGCTAGTTACTCGATTGTGGAAAATACAACGGTTTTAATAATTTTAAAACATGACTTTACATTTTACGATAAACTTCAGGTTGCTGAGATTTTTGTCCCATTTTCTTAGATGCAGTAGAAGGAGTAACTTTTTTCTTTAAATTGTGAAACACATTTTTTTAACTAGTGCAAGTTTTATCTGTGTGTATATCATTTTGAATATTTAATTACTAAGCAGATGTTTGTGGTAAAACGGTAACTGGGCTTTGTCATTAGAGCAATAAGATGTTCATAACCTAAGATTTTGAGAGGCTCTTGTTTGGACTAAATATTCCAAAATCACAGTCTGGACCCATAATGGATTTCCTGTGAAAGCATAGCTGAAAGTTTCATAGTGTAAAATATCAGGCTGTGAAATAAGAGATCTACAGTGGCAAATGTCAAGATCTTACAACATATTCATTTAATTTGCCTTCTTTTCAGTAGTAAAGTATTCTTACGCTGTCTAAAGCACCATCTCTTTGAAATTATTTAGGGAATTAGAACTCCTTTGCTACCCAATATGTTTGTAATGCAGTGTCATTTTTGTGGGTATTATGAATTCATTTGAGAACTGTGTACATATACTGTGAAAACACATGTAAGGTTTTTTTGATTTCTGATGATTGTTAATATTTAAAATATATTGTAGTAGAAAAAGTGAGAAAACATGCTTTTGTCTATTTATATATAAACTGTGATTTATTTGTACTTGTCTTTTTTTCTCCTATAAAAATTTTTTAGATCTTTTATTTGACATATTATTTTAAGAAACAGTGTATAACTTGCTTGGGGATGCACATTTTGGTTTTTAATTGAAGTATATATATTTTAGAATTGTCGATCACTTAAGCTTGAGGCACAAATGGTTTTCAAAGGTTTACAAGGCTACATAAAATTCAGTGTCATGAAGAATTATATTATTGTACATAAATGAAAGATGGATCATCTGAATGTTTGTTTTTCAAAATCACATTCATCTTATTTAGATTAGTTAACATTTATTGTACACTTCTGATTGTGATTTAACAAAACCATATACCGTATATACTAGAGTATAAAACAAGTTTTTCGGCACATTTTTTGTGCTGAAAAATCCCCACTCGTCTTATACTCGAGTGAGTGTCTGTATTATGGCAACTTATATTGCCATAATACAGACCAGGACCGCTGGCAGAGAGCTGTAACTTACCTTTCCTGTCAGTTCCCTTCTCTCTCCTCCGGTCCAGTCAGCTCCCTTCTCCTCCACTGTAAGTCTTGCGAGAGCCGCGGGGTCAGAGCTCTGCGCGGCAGGGGAGCTGACCGGACCGGAGGAGAGAGAAGGGAGCTGACAGGAGCTGCAGGAAAGGTAAGTAAACGCTTCCTGCCAGCCCCCTCCTACACAGCCCATCCACTGGACCACCAGGTAATGAGAGCCCCCTTCCCTGGCCATGTATCAAGCAGGGAGGGGGGATGAAAAAAAATAACATAAAAATTTAAATAATATAATTTTTTTTTGAAATAATAATATTAAAAAAATTAAAATATTAAAAAATAATATAAATGCCCACCCCCCACCAAGGCTCTGCATCACATACACTGCACACACACACACACACACGCTGCACTCATACACACACACTTTAAATAAATATTCAATTAATATAATTTTTGGGGGATCTAATTTTATTTGGAAATTTACCAGGAGCTGCTGCATTTCCCACCCTAGTCTTATACTTTAGTCAAGTTTTGGGGGGGTAAAATTAGGGGTCTCGACTTATATTCGGGTCGACTTTAATTTTGAGTATACACTGATAAGCCACAACATTTAAAACCAACTGCTTAATATTGTGTAAGTCACCCTTGTGCTGCCAAAACAGCTGTAATACATCAAGGCATAAGAACACGTCCTGTGGTATCTGGCACCAAGATTGCCATAGGTGGCCTCGCGTTGTGTAATCACTGGCATCTCAGAGAAATCTGTGATTATACAGTTTCCCGAGCTCAGAGTAGATATGCACAATCTAATTTTTTTATTATTTCATTTTTAAAAGCCAATTCAATTTAACAGAGTAAGGCAACATGGAGGGGAGAGCTACCTTTCTGCAATGGGAAAATGTTGACGTCTTTTATCCAACGTGCTGTGCATCCTGACGTCAGTAGTTTAATATTCTCAGAATTTACATTATGCTGCCTCAGACAGAATTCTGGTCTGCCACAGTCACATTAGCCGGGAGTGCAACCAGTCAAACCATTAACAGTAACCCAGTATGTGCACTGTTTCAAGCTGAAACACTGCATATAAATCACTGAAGTGGTCATGGTGGTTGGAATAACCCTTTAGTAAGAAAAGTATTTTGACACACTGTGCAAGTGGTGTTTCTCTTGGATCCTGAAAATAAATTGTTATTCTAAATCACTGTTTGGAAGAGATCTTGGTTATGTCACAAAACTGAGCAATAAACTGAATGGAAGAGGGAATTATGGTTGAAATGACCAACCTGTTAAAAAAAAAATAAAAAAATATTGGGAGTATGATTTCTCCCCCCCCCCCTCCCCAAACACACACTCACACAACAAGTTAGTTAATTTAGTTTAAAGTGGCTCTGTCACCCAATATCAAAAACAAAGTATTTCATAAGGATAAACTTTCACTGAAATTCCAACCCAGTCAAAAATAAGAACTACTTTGTCTCAGTATTTTTCCTCGGTTTGATAAAAGGGTCTAGGGACGGCTGTAAGAGAAAAAAAAATTACCTTTCCATGGGGTATCCCGTGGTCACATGTATGAATATACAGCACTGACTTTGGCTCCTGGTAGCTGAAGCGCCAGGAGCTGAAAGGTACAGTTTCAAGTAAGTATTCCATACCCCTGACCACTGGACCCTCGTCAGTGAATTCACCATCAAGCGCCTCTGCCAATTACGCAAAGACCCCAGATGATGAAAGAGCCATTTCAATATTTGCAATCCCTGTGTCAATTGCTGAAAATTCATGACAAAGAATATACCCCATTTGGTTTGGCTGCTGTTGAATAAAAACTGTTCCTATGAAATAGATGCATGTTCTTTAAATGTTTACGGTAATGATGTTAATAATTCTTCCTTCAATTGAGTTAATGGGTTTGCTGATTGCAAGGGTATTAGCGGATTTAGTCTACATTTAAAAAAAATGCATTTGGTCATTTCAGTGTTAATGCTTTTCTTTTAGAAGATTCCTAGGATCAGCACACTTGTCTTAAAAGATAAACAGAATGTTATAATTATTGTACACCCACCTTCCTGTTAGGAAGCCAGATAAAAGGGCCGCATTTGCCATATTGTAACACAAAATCAGGCACTTAAAAATAAACAATCTTAACAAGAATATGCAATACAATCAAATGTTTTCCAGTCAAAGCTCTTTGAAACTCCAACACCAGAAAACTTACAATACATGTTTGTAATATTTTCTTTAATTATTTTGTGTGTTGTCCTTGTCTATTATAAACCTGCCGATCATACTGCTCTGGGCACAAAGAAGCTGTAAAACTTCCCAGATTCTATACATGAAGGGTTAGAAGCAGAGCATTAGTACATCTTTCAAATTAGAAAGATGAGCGCTTGTTGGGGGAGAAGGGATCCTCTTCTCGACAGAGTGGTCTTGTGAACATGTCTGGATGGCCCTTTATTGCTAGGTGCAATTACAGTGATGTTACTGCAAATTAAGCGTAATCTGCTATTTTTCTGTTGCCTATTGGGGGCAAGATTGCCGCAACCAATTATTACGTAGAGGTGCTTGGTTGCATTTATAGGATGTCTGCTATATGATTTTGCAGCCATTTAGACAGTCTTAAAAGCCACACTACTTTCCACATGTATTCTTGTAATTTTGTACATGACCTTTTATTAGCTTGACAATTTTTCACTCTTCCAATCATATACCTCTTCTGCAAAAATGCAGAAGATAATGTATCCCTACTCGATTCCTTGTTGCTGTCACCCTGTCAAAGAGCAACGTAATAGCTATACATGACATGTTTTGCAGATCTAACTTAAAGGAAAGGAGCAAGAACAGTAAGTAAAAAGTATAGAGAAGTATATATATGTGTGTATACATTAATGTATTATATTTGTGTGTAACTATCCATAGCTCTTGCTAGCTTGGAAAGTCCATGACCCTCTTATCGTTGTGTGTGTGTGTGTGTATGTATGTATGTATATCTACCTTAATCAATTACTGGCATTCTACCTTATCTGCCAGTATTATTTGCTTGAGCACCGACCAGCACAAATATAGAAAAATATTCCAAAACATTTGAGCACTTGCACTTCTTTAAAATGTTGTGTAAAACAATTTTAATGCGAACATGTGAAGGTTAACAGAACAATTAATGTTTCTGCACCACCAGAGCCTTTCTGAAGATCAAATATAACGCATCCAAAATGAATAATTATAGAGAAGTGTATTACCAATTAACGTGACCACCTCTGTGTGCTGGGTTGTGGCATATGTCAAAAGCAAACATCACACAAGAGGATGACGTATGTGTGACAAAGCATAGCGTGTTGTTACCATGGTGATATAAACTAAGTGCAAAGTGAAAGTTAATCAGAATGTTGTGATTTTTTTAAAAAGATAATAAAAAAATAATAATCTGTAAACTCCTTTATAAATTATTGAACATAAATATAAAAAATGAGGAAATGATCACTGAACATCAATTTCATTGAAAAACTAAAACAATAAAAAAAAAAAATCTCAACGATTTCAGTGAAAATATAAATACATGAAACATGTTTACCAACATGCAGAACTGAATATGTAGCTCCTATCTAACAAGCCTTAATGTAGGAGTTATGTTTATTTTGCCAACTGCGGATAATTATACCTGTCTCTGTGTGGAGGGTAAGCCATTTTGTATTAAATGCCATGCTTTAGGGTTACCACAGTGAATTTCAATAATTGCTACTGGTAGAGAATTTGCAGTTAGATTGTTGAGCAGTATTCAGGCAAGCAGCAAATCCTAGGAGTCAGAAGTCTTTCTGCAAACGTTTAAAACTAATGGATAGACCATAAATCACCATCATCACATAATGAAAAGGAAACACATTCTTACTTACACAGGACAATATCAGAAGAGTAACCGTGACAAGGCAATACAAGTGCTTGGTTTAAGGGACCACTGCACAACACATCAGGACTCTTAAATCAAAATGTTCCCTTCTGCTACCTGAAACATCCTTCTGAGTTAAAGCTCTGACTCAAGACTTTAATGTACTGCCTTTTTATAACATACAAGTCAAACTGTTATAATTTAGCAGAGGTACCAAACTCATGTTCGCACACAGTAGAAACACTTTGTACTATGGGTCAAAAATACTTTTCTGCTCTTTGACCATGTGGCTGCTTGATTTTATGAAGCATAGACCAGATGACCCAATAGCATATCATCTCTATCTTTCTAGATATTTTAGCACTGCCTTTGAAGATGTCAGTTTTTTTTCTTCTCGTATGTATTACTTTCCCATTATTTCCAGAATACTTTACACCATTCTGTGACTGGTCTGTTTTGACATTAGCTGAATGCATTGGGAGCAGTTTAACTTGTCTAAGACCAGTCACGAAAGGTTAGTGCCCTAGCTGTTTGTTGAAAAGATTGCACTTTGCAATATTGGAAAGTGAAACAATACATACTTTCTCTTTACTCTCCAGGGTGAAAAGCATCAGGCATTGTTAAAATATTATGCTTTCATGGTGGTGATGCTCAGTTCTGTTTCCCTGTTGGCACAAAAAGCCACAAAAACAAAGTTGTAATTGATGAGCTGTAACGAACAAAGACATTTAAAAGTGAAATTATAAATGATAAATATAAAGACCCACAAGAATAAAGTCTTTTATTTCCAATAAAGTGGCAAGTCTTACATCACACGTTCAGCACTTTTTGCAACCTTTTGGTGAAATACATCACCATGATTGTTACAGGCAGACTGTGGATGCTCTTTGCTGAGCTTGCATTTCCATTGATTGTCACTGTGAAATGGGGTGGGGGGGAGGGGGGTTATAGCCTAGCCATCCCTCTCATGGGTTAAGATCTTGTGTATACAGTATTCACTAGGACATTTCCCACAAATGTGGAAAGATGGCACAAGCCTGGGCAGGCAGACATCCAATAATCAAGAGAGCCCAAATCTGCAAACTGACATGACTACAGTACGGAGAAGTTTCTGATGTTTGTGATGTTGGACCATTTAATGGTTAGGAGAGGATTGCTAGCAGGTTATATATTGCCACTGGAAGCAACTTATCATGATGTCTTCACCTCACGCTAGGCTTAGGTTTATCATTCCTGATTTTTGTGCCTAACTTCACTCGGTGAGGTCTGGAAGGGTTTAATTCTACTCAAATCACTATAATTCACAGTTGAACTGTGAGATGTTGCACCTGTAACCTGTATACGTGGCATAAGTAGTTATGGTGTTTTAAAGTATCAAATTAAAGCATATATGTTTTTCCTCTGTGATTAAGACAGTCAATCTTTTATATATCTCAAGTACGTCTGTTTGGAATCCACATATTGATGTACAGAATCATAAAAGTACTAAAATATAATCACCAAAAACACAAATTAGTCTGGTTGGTGTTTCTACCTTCCAAACACTTAGAGTGCAGTGCAATGTAGGTGTTAAGGAAAAAGTACATAAAAACATATATACTTACCCCTCAGTTTTAGGGGGTTGTACATAAAAAATAGGAAAAACACAAGAGTGCAATATTGTATGGTAAACGTAAAGTGACTTTTTTAGTGCACTTTTATGTGGGTATAGGCTCCAAACACATCAGCGGTTGTGCCTTTAAGGTAGGCAGCTATACCCCTCTTGTATTGTTGGTTCATTTTTACTCCTCTCAATGGAATATGTGAAGGAAGAGAGACCGGAAACCTCTAGGTTTAGTACTTCAAGTTATAGTATGAATTTTAACCCAAATATAGTAGGAAAAATGGGTGCTCACCTTTTTGGAAGCATTTTGATAACCGGCTCTAAGTTTGCAGGCCTTGTGTCAGTTTGCAGGGTGACACTACCCTTACCGGATCCAAGGTACAGTATGGAGATGAAGATAAGTTGGTATGAAGCATTTATTTACAAATATAATAAAACTTATTGACATAAACTGTAACAATAATAACAAAAGTATTCAATATATAGTAGTCCTCTTTATCTTCGCTATTACCAAGAAGCGTTTTTGCCTCAGTTTTGGCTTCCTCAATTGGCATAAACATCATTGCGTGTTGTCCGGCTTTTAGGCGTTCAAAATTCCTCCCCCTTTTTTTTTTTTTAAATTATCCAGTCCTGTCATTGGTTCAGGTGTTCCTCTTGGCGCTTACTATTCGCGTTGCGTCACTTCTGGTTTTCTTCCGGAATGGCAGTTCTCTTGTGGCTGATCTGTCCGTATTTCCGGTTCTCTAAACTACCAAACCCATAATCCATTGGGTTATTGGTTCCGTTTGCGTTGTAATTAGTGTTCTTTGGAGAGTTCTATGTATTATATAGTTACTCATAAAACCATAAAAGATATAATATAAACAAGGTTTATTTCTTCAATAGGCAATTATTCTAAAACATACTTTAAATTACTTATGAGATTGTATAATATAATGTGACCTGTGTGAGCCTAGTAGTGCAAAAATTATACTGGTGATACACAGACAGTAAAACTACATTGTCACGGCCCCCGGCTCGTTGCGAGGTGCAGTGGCACCCAACCGGTGCGGCCGCGCTGACGGACTGGGCTTACATGCTCAGCGGCGAGTTGGGAGCCGCTCCGCCGGGTTCTGCTGCCCGAATTAAAGATGGCGCGGACCATGCTGTCGCAGCCATAAATAGCTCCGCCCCCCAAGGTCACACGAATGTGTGTGTGTGAAGTCTCGACGCACACGCATGTTCTGGGGTCAGATGTCATCCTCACAGTCAAAGGAGGGATTTTTAAATCAGTGAAGTTCCCTGGTTCTTTGCCCTGTCGTGGTTTACGTTCCTGGTTCCCGAGAGGCGTTTTCTTGTCCTGTGTTTGATATTCTCGGTATTTTGACCTTGGCTATTCCTGACTCTTCTGGTTTCCCTGACATGGCTTGTTAAACGGTATTATATATTTCCGGCTTCCTTGACCTCGGCTATCCCTTGACCATTCTCTGTCTTTAACGTATTAGTCTGGCCATTCTAAGGACCGGTTTACGTTCTATATATTTTCTGTTCTGTCTATGTAGATGTAACATAGTACTGCGTGCTGGACCTCACTAGCAGTCATGACATACATAATGTACATTTTTTATATTTTTCAAAATACACATATATTCTAAAAATATAAAACTTATAGATAACATATTAAGGACATGTTTCAAAACATAATTACAAGGAGAAAGGATCACAAAGTTCATGTGTAAAATATATGCACACATATTGAAAAATATATACACATGGATAAAAGGGGACAGTGATTATAAAAAATGGCACAATTCAAAGTCTGCATTAAGACCAAAAGGGGTGAAGGTATTAAGGTTAAACATCCATTTGGTTTCTATTTTTCATAGTCTTTTTTTATTTCATCCTCTCCTCTCCAATTCATTTCCACTTGGCAAAAAAGTCTAAAAATTGTGGATCAATATTGTGCAGTAATTTAAAATGCTGATACACTATGTTTATCATATCCCTCTTTTATATACCGTATGTGGAGTGGACGTTTTGTTCTTCTAACGTAGTATAAATTACATGGACATTTTAGAGCGTAGATTACTTTCTTTGTGAAGAAGGTAATCATATTCTTTATTTTATATTCTTTTTGTTTTGGGGGTCTAAAAAAAGTTATAAAATGTGGATCGAAACCAGCGCTTATTAGTTTAAATATCAGTATACCACCTTGTAAATTGTTCTTATTAGCTGCTAAACATTCAAGTGATTCCTTACCAATACAAGATACAAAACAAGAAAAGAATGTAGCGCTTCAATAAAAATTCAATTAATCACCTTTTTGATTTTGTTTGGAGGGAGATTTTCCCTGGTATGCCAAATCTGTGCAAGTATCTATAAAAAATAATTAAACATAGTGTAGATCATCCGTAACACGGTAGTGCTTTTTAATTCTGATATATATACACTCACAAACGAAGAGCTATGGACCCAGCTCTGGTTTGAATTGTTTCTGGGTCCGTACAGGCGACCCATCCCTATTACCGATATGGATCTACAATAACGTGGCTTCTTCAATCGGGTAAATCAGTTATGTCTGATCTGAACTGATTTACCCGATTGAAGAAGCCACGCTATTAGTGGCGAAACGCATCCCGGATTCAGCATATTGATGCTTCTTTTATTTGTTATTTTAAATTGTGTTAATACTTTTTTTTTTTTTTTTTTTACTTTTCTTCATCGATCCTGGTTCCCAGTACTTCATCTTTTACAGCAGGGAGTGCAGTCCTAAATCTGCACAACGCTTAAGAATTTGAGTCATTATTGCATGACTCTACACTTGTAAGTACCCACTTGGGATTATTTATTTCACATTAGACTTATTATCAACAATACTACGCAATCGTTTGTGCCTCTATCTTCCCTATAGAACAAGATCCACATCGATAATAGGGGTGGGTCGCCTATAAGGACCAAGAGCTGGGTCCATAGCTCTTCGTTTGTGAGTGTATATATATCAGAATTAAAACGCACTACCATTTTACGGATGATCTACACTATGTTTAATTATTTTTTATAGATACTTGCACAGATTTGGCATACCAGGGCAAATCTCCCTCCAAACAAAATCAAAAAGGTGATTAATTGAATTTTTATTGAAGCGCTACATTCTTTTCTTGTTTTGTATCTAAAAAAGTTATGTCTTCTTTTGCTTTTTGTGCTTCTGCACGCTAGATATTGTCCACAGCCAAAGAAACCTTCTCTTTTGGAAAAAAAGGTGTTTTTTTTTTTTCTCTTTTATGTGGTTGTGCGTAAATTTTTGTTTTAAATTCGGGGCTCCTCTATATGTAAATTTTGTTTTTTCTGGTAACATTGTATAACATTGGGGGTCGCTTCTTAAAATTGGCCAATATTAAGTATTTTTTATTTTATTACTTTCTTGATTAATATTGCAAATAAAAGGAATTCATTTGGCCTCATTTTCTTTTTTAGTTTTATATTCTAAAAGGGAAGATCTATCTATATCTTCTACCTCACCCACAGGGTGTATCCAGCTGCTAGACCAAATAATAATTGTATAATTTAAAGCGTCACTCATGCCACACCGCTTGTGTTTAATAAGTCTTATTATATGTATGAAAATATTTTTTTCCCCTCCTATAAATTCTACTGCTGCGTTCATTTAGCTATTTCCCTTTGCAGTGTGAGTCAATAATGCAAATGCAGAAGCCTATAATTACACCATAAGGTATAGAGGTATATAAGGCACTGACTAAGCAAGAATTATGCACAAATGTAATCACTTACAAGGAGTGAGACCGTCCCAGACGTTTCAATAAATAGCAGCTAGTAACAGTAATGTAGCAGTGGTTTTTGCCCCAACTAATGTCTCCCTAAATTATTTTGGTGTGTCGCTTTGATGGTTTGAAAAGGCCCACTCATGTTTGTCAGACCCCAGGAAACTGTCCACAACCAGATTTTGTTACTGCTGCTTCACTAGTATTCCTAGTGCCAATTTGACACTGGGATTAGATGAACGCAAGTGTTTTATAAAATGTATCTTAAAATATATTATTTTTACAATTGAGTAATGGGTGACTGAAAATTCGATAACAGTGTCGTATTGTATGGGAGGCTGTAAAATATATGTTCATGAAACATTTCAATAAAGCATTACTTACACTATACAGAAGACTCTCAGAAGCTGCCCAGGAAGCCGTTAGCATGAAGTAGTACCGTATTTCCCCGAAAATACACCCTACCCCGAAAATAAGCCCTAGCTGGATTATCGGGGTGGGCTGCAATATAAGCCCTACCCCGAAAATAAGACCTAGGCAGGGCCGGCGACTGACGGCCCTTTAAATGCCTCAGCCGCCTGAGCGCTCTATAGAGAGCGCTCAGACGGCTGCCGCACTGCCTCACCTCCCCTTCAGCGCTCCGGTCCGCTGGACTGACAGGAAGTGCACACTGGGTGTGCACTTCCTGTCAGTCCGGCCGGGTCGCGGACCGGAGAGGAGCTCGGCCACGCTACAGGGGAGGTGAGGAGAAGATTGGAGGGGGGGGGGCGGGAGTATTACAGGGAGGGAGGGGGGAGATAATATTACGGGGAGGTGAGGGTCTCTGGGGGGGTTACACAGCGCGGGCACCGGCTGACAGACTGGCTCTAAGCCCTACCCTGAAAATAAGCCCTAGTGTGTTTTTTGTGACTAAAATTAATATAAGACCCGGTCTTATTTTCGGAGAAACACGGTAACCAGATTGTCTATTTCATACATAGGCTCACAGGTAGTCTAGCTTAAGTACATTGTATAAAGGTTCAGATCACAGGCCGGGTTCTCTATCCCAGTGTACAGGACTGCAGAATATGTTGACATTTTATAAATAATAGTAATATCAATAAAGAAAACATGTTTATACACAACAGTGAAAAAGCAATTTATAGTGGCCATTTTTAATGTCCATGGATGCCTTTCACAAGGTGGCAATGTCATAGCAGCATACATATTTCAGTTGTTGGAGAATGACTCTTAAAATCTGGAATGTTTAACGGAACTCCAGACAGCTTAGTTTAGTAGTTTTGATGATGTAAAATCAATTCTTCCTCTGTCATAGTAATTGCTAGCAACAGTAACACAAAGTATTCAAACACATTTTTGGAATTTTACATTACACATGTCAAGGTAATTATAGCCTAGAAATATCACACTTCTCTTAATACAGTGAGATCCGTCACACAAGAATCCGCAGATGTCAATTCATACTTTTCTCTTTTTTTCTTGTCTGTCTCTAAAGCAAGTTGTGTTTTTAGAAATGGGGAAAAATATTGTATAGTGGGCGAGCACCAATACTGCAGCAATTCATAAACTAGGACCCATGTCATTTTATACCTAAATATTAAAAATTAAATTGTATCTCTGTCTCACTACTACCCATTAGAAGGTATTTTCTTCGCTTTTTAATCATCCAAGCTTTTTTTGAACTGTAGAAAACCTTCACGTGTCTTAAAGGGTAGTTTAAGCAGCACAAAAAGTACCTATTTTTGAACAGTTGAATGTTTGTTGTACATGCAAATGATCCGTCTGTATAGATCTACAGGCAATGAACATGTCCAGTGATGGGCATTTTTCTGACAGTTATTATTTTGTTATGAAATTGTTTTACAAAATAATGCTGTGTCATAAGAATTGGACTTGGGAAAATGTGTTCAATACATTGTGTGGTCCCATTCTAGGTTTCATGTAAGATGTAAATGAATAATTGAACGGTTTAGTAGTATCTGTTATCAGACTTCTTTTTGTGAGCTGATTTTAAGTCAGATTACCTTCCTCAGAAGATCTTTTTTTTGTTGTCATTTTTCCCCCCAAATTATAGAGGATTAATTGAAAAAATAACCCAAAATAAACTAATGAGGAAGTTTGTCCTGCATTTTAAAGCAGTTTTGATGTATACATCATGCCTCTGCAGTCTCCCTGCTCAATTCTCTGCCATTTAGGAGTTAAATCACTTTGTTTATACAGCTCTAGTGACACCTCCCTGCATGTGACTTGCACAGCCTCCCTAAACATTTCCTGAAAAGGTACCCAGGTATTCTAGGTTGCTTCACTACACATTCTGTTTAATCTAGAATGTATTATCTCCTGCTCTGTTAATAGCCGTCTAAACAATGCAGAAACTTCCTGTGTTTGAAGTTCAATTTACAGAGCAGGAGACAAAAATTAGCCTCTGAAAATAAAACAATGTTTTCATGTTGGCTGTATAAGTCACGGCCAGATGAGGTGAGTGAGGCTAGGGCTGCATAAACAGAAACAAAATTGATTTGACTCCTAAAGATAATTGACAAATAAGACCACAGTGGCGTGATATATACATCAAAACTTCATAAAAATAGTTGTTTTAAAGCCCATAGTGTCCCGTTAAACCAGCTTACCAAAAGACATTTCATAACATGTCTTGTCTACATCATTTTAGGAAATGACAACATTTAGGACTTGATGTCCAATCTGGAAAAAAATGTCTGGCTACCTGTTTATTTCTAGCTATTTCTTTTCCTTACATTTTCCTCTCCCATGTCAATCAAATAAAATTCCCAGTTTATTGAAGAAAGCTAAAAATGTCCCATTTTTGCTCTTTATTCTGAGAGCGTGCAGAACGGATGGAGTGTGTGGACGGATACATGACGTCCCCACATTAGTTTGGTATTTTTGCAGTTGTCAAGTGACATATAGTTATAGAACTGTAGCCCTTGCATCGAGATATAAAATAATGCATTTAATTATATAATGTGTTCTTCAGCCTCCTTCACAGAGCCGCATATGGTACTAATTGCTGATTCATCTTAACTTCTTAACCTTTCATTTCTGCCATCTCTGCAGCCTTTCCTTTCTGTCTATTTCCTGTTTACCATTATCCTTTCAATTGCCTGTAAGTCACATATAGCAGTAGAGCTCTGTGTTTGGTTAGTGACGAGAATTTTTGCAAATTGTCAGATACACTGTATTGCAATATTCATGTAGGATGAGAGATGTATAGAAGCATGACAGCATATCTGAGCTCAAACCATAACTCTGGCTCCCAAATAAACAATTTTCATAATTGTAATTCCTCACCTCCACATTGCATTCCAATACACCATACTGCAGTGTACTATATCATCTCATTATAATGCTATTAATGAATGTGGTACTATCAGAAATATTTGCTTCTAAAAGTTAGGCTATCTCCCTCTTGTTTGCCAAATAAAAAGTAGCAGTCTCAATTAAATATTTACATATTTAACATTGCATTCTAGAACTTGAGGAAATACTGTCAGGGCTATCATTAACTGCAAACTGTGGGGATTCATCTGGGAATTGCAAATTGTCGGCCAGCTAGTTTAGCCTTAGATTACATATTCCCTGCAGACTTAATGAAAATTTTCTGTTCGAAGAATAACCTTAAAATTTGTGTGATGTTTCACTACAATATATCTGACTATTCACTTAAATCTGTACAGATGTTTTTCTCACTCTCATCTCAACTTTAATTCCTTTACACGATGCTGCCTTTGAAATGGATTTTGAAACATCTGTATTAATCATTTGTCACTTTTACCCTTCCTCCATAGACAGGTGACATGTCTGGTCAAACCTATCAAAGACTTTCTCTGTGTCAGTGGAGACCAGAGTTGGAGTGTCAAGACATCTTCTGATGTAGTTATGGTTAAAGGTACGCTGTAGCACTGTAACTGCTCCATATCATTGAAGTGTGTGGCGACAGTAACCGCGCCACTTGTACTTGGAGGGGCCTGCTTGCCAGCTTCCTGCCCACAGACTATGGGCCCTGCAGGGAAACCTGTTAAAGACTACCGAACTTGACCGACTGTTAGCACTGATTTCCCTGGAACTGTTTTGGCCATAGGACCATGTGCACGGTCGGTCAAAACTATGACTTCCATGAAATTCCTGAACCGATCTGGGTGATTTTTGGATACGTTGTTCACCCAGATCGGGGGATGTAACTATGGGGTTTTAAGTGTTTTAAGGTACTTTTTGGGGTTTCATAAAATTGTAAGTTTTTTTCTGTGCTTGGAGATAATTGGGTTAGATTAGTACAGTTCCTGATTCAGTTATCTCCCAAGCAGAGGAGGGATTCTATTGTTTGTCTATGGGAGTGTCTCACCATTTTTATTTGTTTATTCACTTTGTGTCCGTGTGTCCAACCTGGGCGTCACCGTTGTTGGGAAACTTGCATAAAAGACCAATGTGCCTCCATTAAAATTCTGTTCCTGCTTACCCTCAACATAGTCTCATCTCATGTGTGGGGGAAACGGCTGCATCTATCCTGGGGATTGCTATATTACTATACTCCCCAGGAATTCTAATCTCAAGCTCTTATAAGAGCTGTTCCTGTTACGCTCTCTGGGAGTAGGAGAGGTCTGCCCACTGGAAGCTGGATCCTGGTCTTGGGTCCAGGGTGGGTGAAGGACGGTGAGACCCTGGCGCAGCTGCATCGCTGGAAGTGGGGTCTGCAGTGCTTATGGTGTCTGGTGGAGTGCTGGAATTCCTCGGTGAGCACTAGGAGCATCGATTGGCGGAGGCACTTGGTCGGAGTGCCAGGCGGTCCGACACAAAGTAGTTATAGTGTCTGGAGTCCAATGGTGAGGTCCTTATATTCAGCATTAAATAATTTTCATGTTTAATTCTAAAATGATTAAATGAGATTACAATCTGAGGATTAGGTGGTAGGCAGATGTAGATCATTAGGTGTCTTGCCCAAAGCGACTTACTGGTAAGGCAGTTTGACAGGGTTTGAACCTAGGTTTCCCGGGACTAAGGTAGTGACATTATCACTGCTCTAACCAGCTGATCTACAGCTTTAAACACATCTTCAGTGGAGCAGGGCCATGGGAACCCTGGGACTCTTATTAAGTGTTCAACGTCTCGCAGATGGTTCAACACTGAATGGAGAGTGAGTGCCAGGGGACACCAGGTACCATAAAGAATTCATTGAGTTGAAACGGTTTTAGTTGAACCTGCCTTTCAAGGTTATTAATTCCGCCTGATCTGTTTGGACCAGCAGTGGCATAAAACATTGGACTCTTAGATCAACTTAAGTAAACGTTGTGGCTTTACCTGCCTTGTGGTGGAATTCTGCAGTGAATTGAAAGATGCTACGAAACAAGAAGCAAGCTTTAAATGTAAAAACAAAGAAACAGGGGATTCAGGGAGGAACCCTAATATCTAGAGCCATGAGGAGCAGGTGTAATAATGTCAGTTTATCCATTGAAAAGAGCCCAATACCCCACCCTTCATGTTTTGTTCTGTTGTTTTTGTTTTTTTTTAGTTTGAATACTGTTGTTTAGGCACACTGCTCATATGTGTTATCATCTTAAACCATGCTACTGCTGTGTTCAAAGCACTGCTGTGTACATTGTGCAACTTGTCTTTATGTCCTATTTCCTTTGAAATATTCTTTGTTGTTTAATATTAAAAACTAAAATAGATGGCCGTCCCCATTGAGGAATCTCGGAGTTAAAGCAGATCTGCCACGTTTTGTTTTTAAATGTTGCCATCTTCTAAACCCCCTTAGTTTTTTTTTAGTTTTTTTTCTAAAATTAAGCTTTTTAAAAAATTATAATATAAAGTTGTGCATTGGCTATACTCACCTCCTTCCAGTGTTGCGTTACTTCTGGGAGTGGCACATTAGTGGCACTGTGTTGACTCCAGAGTCAACTTAGTTCCATTCAAAGCCTTGGGAGTGTATGTCACTTGACGCCCAGGAAATGGCAGAGTGGATTTTTGGATGCGCCATTATAGGAACACAATGATGGCAGCTTAACCATAGAAGACCCCGCAGGACAGGCATAATTTTGAAAAAGATAAGTTGCACTGGTCCCAGGGTCTGAAGTGGTTGTGTGGGGTCATGGTGCTATAGGCACTACTATATGTTTAGTAGTCCCTAAATTTAAAAAAAATATATATGTATATGTGAGGTGATTAATTTGGAAATCTACACCCCTTTATTCTGCATCTGGGTGCCTCCATCATACCTCCTTGTCAGTCAGTGTTATAAGCTCTGTCCTTTGCACCACAATTATGTTTCTATGTCTCTTCTCATTTGCAATGTTTGCCCTGACTGCATTCTCTGAAGTGGATTATGAGGTCAATGTCTAAATCTTAATATGAATTTAAATGAAAATTGAGCATCTCATGGGGGGAAAAAAATAACATGTTTTGCTGATTTTTATTGTTTTGCTCAATTGTATAAATTCCCCTTGTGACCATTCCCCTTCAAAGCGTGCTCATGTGGAAAAAAGCTACTTTGGTTTTTGCAAAATGTACAATTAAATAATTTTATTGGTTGGTTTTTTTTTTAAATATAAACATTTTACAAAAATCTGCTTATTTTCACACCAAATTATTTACATGCCGGTTTCCTTTAAATTATGAGGAATGCATTCGAATGTGCTACGCTACATAGTACATAGTTGTAAGATGTTCCTAAGTTTTAACTATGTATGCTGCACATGCTGCCTATTTTTAGATACAGCAATATAAAGAAAACAGGTTTGTTTTTCTGCTGCAGGCTTTGCATTCCCATTTGTGTGACAAATAATCTCTGCCATAAAAGAAAAGTTATTTTGATTATTTACAGTTTCAGCCATTATAGCGATCATGGAACCGCTAACGTTTTCAGAATGCAATCGTATTGACAACAATCTAAATTAGATCTTTCATTCTCGCAACGTTATTTCTTGATTTTAGGGTAAAATCTTTTACTGGAGTTAATCTGTTCATGCAGGAATTAACAAATGAATTTCACATTGTTGCCTGATTTTTGCATATTTTATATTATTTAAGATATATATATATTTTATGTGTAGTCTGAACAAACATAACTGATTATATTTGTGTACTGAATCTTTTTAAAAATGCCTTAATTACATTATTCCAATACTTCCATGATGTTTTATACTTTGTATGAGTACGGAATCTTAAATAAAGTATAGGATTTACGTCTTTACCAAACACCAAATATCAACCAGAGTCATACTGAACAAATCCGTTAGAAGGCAGATTCGTGACATTAATCTACCAGTTTTTCGAAGTGAGCCTACATAAATCTGCAATATTTGCCTACTTGATGTGAGAGCAGGTAGTTTGTGTTGGATTATAATATTGATTTAATACACAATATTCAGAAAATAACTATAGAATCATTTTATAACCTTGGCTTTTTGATTTTTAACAGTAAAGTTAACTTTTTTCCCTATTTGGTAGTTCTCTGCATGGTGCTAGTTACATATTTTTGCAATATATTCACTTTTATTACAAATGGCCTCTCTCTGCTTGCACATTTGGTTAAACTGAATCCTGTATGTATAAAAAATAGTGACAGACCTAAGGACACGGTCACTGCACCACCAACCCATTCTTACATATCTGATTTTTACTGGTTGTGAATCAATCCTAACCTCAACGTATAATTATTTATTTATAAAATATTTTACCAGGATGGATACATTGAGATTTCTCTTGTTTTCGAGTATGTCCTGGGTCCACAAAACATTGCATTGATACAACAGGATACAATATTACAAAAATACAATATGCAAACTATATATATATGTGTGTATATATATATATATATATACATACACACATATATAAATTTAATACATAACAAGTAATAAATATATTCAACCATGACAGGTGCATTCTGTGCTGAGGTATGTTGCCATAGATATCTTAAAAGATTTTAGATTGAATGAAGATTTCACTGTGTCCCTGAGGTTATTCCATAATTGCGGAGTTCTGTAGGAAAATGAAAATGCTAGTACTGGATCGGAGGTTATGGGAGGTGGGAACAGCTCGGGAGAGCATTCTACTCTGATAGGGTGGTTGCTTCCCAGAAAAGCTCTTCTGTACAAGGCTGGAAAGATGAAGAGTGCGTTGGGATTCCAGCAATAGCCAGTTTAGCTCTTTTAACATGTCACAGTGGTGGGTAAAGTAATTGCTTTCTAGTACAAAGCGGCAGAATGAATTACATAACTTATTACGTTTATTAAAGTGCGTTTGCGTTGCATAAATGACGTCCCCATAATCAATAACTGGCATTAGCATTTCTTGCACCATCTGTTTCCTTACTGTAGGGCTTAGGCAGAATTTGTTTCTGAAGAGATTTTTTCAATGTGAAGGCCAAAGTATAGATTGGGGTCTAACAACATACCTAGATATTTAAAAGAGCAGACTGCTGTCAGTGTGCCATTTGAATTTGTTCTGATACACAATTGTTGATTTTGTAGTTTACGTAATTTAGGTACTGTAACGGCACCCTCAGCATAAAAGGGGTTAACAGCCGTTTAGTAGATCTTCCCCTTCCAGAGACACAGGCAGCTACTGTAGACACCAATCCACCGAACCGGAGAAGCATATGAATGCCGTAAACAGCCAAACCGGAACCATACGAATACTGTAAACAGCCGAATAGGAAAAACCATACGAATAGGTTTACACTCCTAGCAGTCAAACTGGAACAGCATACAATAAATCCCCTCAAGAACGAGACAAGGCTCCATTTTGAGGGTCAAGCAGGAACAGAAAGAGCTGTGGGTTTATTGTTCTTATGTACACATTCTTACACATTAGTACCACCCACAGGGTTTTGGAAAACAACCAATAAACACATACAATACACTCAGACACTCCCACACAAAATCCTCCCCTCTGCCTGTGATACAATTACCTTACACAATGGGTAATGTAATTATCACAAGCAGAGAAATACAATTTTTCCACATTATTCATAACTTGAAAAGTATGCATTACATTTTCAGAATCAGCATACTCCAAATACAAACATATGTCA